TAAGAGGGGGGGGAGGGACGGAGCCTCTTGTGCGGTATTTCTGAGGCCTGGATTGTGTCTGAGGGCTGAGTTGCTGCCCCCCTCAAAATCCATGGAGCCAGGGGTTTTTTATCAGAGTACCGTAAATTACTCTGTTTCTCTGGAAATCAGAGTGGTTTTTAGGGGGTCACTCTGACGTGTCTGGGTATTTTTTTTGGAAGATAAGTTTTCTCTGATTTGTCAGGGTTCTGATTCTAGCTACTCTGAGAGACAAGTGTATATTTTTAGCGAATGTATTTTTCTATGTACAGTGTAAAGGCATTTCGACCGAGCTTCCCTCCCCAATTGGTAAAAAACAAAAAGTATATTTATATAATTTAGCAACTTCTATAGTGAGCGTGTAGTACAGCGGCTCAGTTTTGGTAGGAGTCCAGAAGGTCTGGGTTTGAAACTTGAAATATTCCAAGTTTTGTTAAGAAAGACCCCTGACGGTCCAGAGCTTATTTTTCAGAAGTTAAGTTTTCTCTGACAAATCAGAGTACCGTAACGCACATAATGAATCCTGAATTTCAGAGTTCCCTAGAAAACAGCTCTGGAAATCCAAAAAAAAGCCTGATGTGAGGAGAAGCAGCGTGGTGTGCCTGCCTGATGTTTTGCTTTGTCTCCAATGGTTGTTTGTTCCCGTCTTGATCCTACCATACCGTAACCTTTTGGTTGTAAGTCTCACCACCAACCAAGTCACGATAAGAGTGGCGCCATATGCATGCATGCACCATAACCACAGGACAGGAAGCTACGATATTGTAGTACATAACACACCAGACATGCATGTAAGAAAAGAGAGTTAAGGTCCAGCTTAGCCTCATTCAGATTGCGGTACTGTTTTTATAAGCAGGTGAACCGTCACCCAACCCAAGGTTGATAATTCGATGCCAGGGGTAGGGCAACTACCATAACTAGCATGCAGTGCAGAAAGAGGACAGATGAACGTGGGAGTGATTGGCTAAGGAGACTCCGTACCCAAGGATGGAAAGCAGCGTGACGTGACAACCAAAGGAGGACGACAGGGCGCAGCAGCGTAGGAATGTGAGGAGAGATGGATGTGATGGAATGAATGAGTGGATGAGGAAAAAGAGGAGGGGTTGGGGTACAAGGCAGAAGACAGAAGGTGGATTTTGAAGGGAGAAGGATAGAGAGTGAGAGACGGGGAGAGTGGGAAGTTGGGAAGCAGCTTAAAACAGGGGAGGCTCCTCTGTTCGCAGTTTTGCTGGCGATGCGGACACGGCTGGAGCAGCAGCAGCAGCAGCAGCAGGGCCAGGCGAGAAAACATCATCCATGAGAGACCCGGCCGGAGCAGGTGTGGGGGCAGGCGCAGGAGCAGAAGCAGCAGCAGCAGCAGCAGCAGCAGCAGCAGCAGCGGCAGCAGCAGCAGCATCAGATGATGCAAAGAGAGGAGGGCCGTGGTCCTCCAACGCCCCAGAAGATGACATCCCTGCAACACCACCTGAGCTTGTTGCACTAGCAGCAGCACCAGCAGCAGGACCAGGCGTATCATCATCAAAACCAGCACCCGAGACGGCACTGTAACCGCCGGGAGCAGAGGCCGAGCCATCCCCGAGAGAGACGGTTGGAACCTCCCCACGCTCCTCCTCTGCTTGATGCACCTTCTGTAGGGTCTGCTGCTTCACCTCTCCAACAATCTCGCCGAGCTTCCCAAACGCCCCGGCTAACCAGCTGGCACTGGTAGCCACATACTGGTTCTTCATCAAATACTGCCCGGCCTCGGAAATTGAGGCTTCCGCTACAGCCGCTGCCCCCCGGGCAGTTTGCGAAACTTTGTACTGCTCGTCGACCGTCGTCCAGGAGCGTGCCACCGTCTCCTTGGTCTCGGAAAACTTTTGCGAGATGGCGTATTTCTTGTCGAGCGTGGCAGCAGTTTCGACCGTCCGTTCTTTCAGAGCAGCGACCTGGATGGCCGCTGTACGGCTGAGATCGTGCTTGGAGTCAAACTCCTTGGCCTTGCTTGCTGCGTCCTTCCCTAGAATGTAGCCTGAGGCGAGAAGGGAAGCCACTACCCCCTCTGCAGACTTCATGTCGGGGGCTGTGAAGCTAGAAGTTAAAGAACTGGCAGGAGACTGCTCGGGAAGAGGGAGGCAGGGGTAAGCAGGGGGGAAGGTAGGGAGGAGAGAAACAGGGTAGGTGTGAGAAGGGAGTGGATGGGGTTTGGAGGAGAGGGATGTTGTGTTGGTACGACTCGAACTTGCCTCTCAGATCGAGCATCTGTGGTCACTTTCTCCGCCTCTTCTCTCTCCCTTTCTCCATCAACATCCGTTTTCATATCATGTGTGAAACCCCCACCCCTTCGAAAGCAACGTACCCCGCACAAAGCGACCCTTTAAAAGCAAGCACCACAGCTCATCTCCCCATTCAAGTACCGCACCGCACCTCCCCATTCAAGCACCGCACCGCACCTCCCCATTCAAGCACCGCACCGCACCTCCCCATTCAAGCACCGCACCGCACCTCCCCACTCAAGCACCACACTGCACCTCCCCATTCAAGCACCACACCGCCTCCCCATTCAAGCACTGCAGATCCCCAACAAGCACCGCACCTCCCCAAGCAATCACCGCATCTTCCCTAAGGCCAACTACCTGCGCGGATACAGCTCGCTGCACCTCCTGTGCCACGTGAGAGGCTCTCTGAGGGGCTTCGTACCCCTCCGCCACCTCCACTATGATTGGCTCGTCCACAATCACCGCGCCCTGCTTGGGCGAGGGCGAGCGAAAGCGCAACAGCCATGGGAAGGAGGGGGAGGGCGAGGGGGGAAGGAGGTTGGGTGGGGGGGAGAGGGAGGGAGGGGGTGGGGAGGGAGAAAGGGAGGGGGAGAGGAGACGGGGATGACAAGAAGCACTAGTTTAAGGGGGTCGGGGGAAGGGGTGTGGGGAGAAGGGGAGGCGGGGACGGGGGGGGGAAGGTGAAAGGCGCCAAGGAAAGGAGGTGCTATGTTATTGAGTTGGCAAAAAAGCATCTCAATTGGAGACGATAGAAGTTCAGGCACAGGATGACGTCAGAGGCGACGCACGCAACGACCGGAACTGCAAGGGATATATACAGTCCGTGAATTCAGGCGTAAAATCTTCGTACCGTCAGAAGCAGAGCTGTTTCCAGCGCTCTCTCATCCGCGAACGTCACGTACGCCACCTGGCCCTTCTTCAGATCCCTGTCACCCGCGAAACAGTGAGATGAAACGGGCTTAGCGTGAAAGAGGAACGTCGACCGACGGACTTCTGTGTGACCAAATGCCTGATCAAGAAAGTGATTTCAGAGCCATTGTTGTTGCAAGCGGACGTATAAGGAAAATAAATGGCTGTGAATTCACCTCGATACCATAAACGAGCTGCGCGAGAAGCTCCTTCCAGATTACCGTCACTAGGCATTCTATACCGAATCGCGTGGAATAGTTTTTTCGAAGGATTAAAAACGGTTGATCCGATTCGATCCAATCCGATCCGTTCCGAATCTCGTCACATTGTCCGATTAAGATCCACTTGTGAGGTTCAGGCAATGCAGCTGCTTCTCCCACTTTCGCTCTTTCCTCAATGTCACTGCATCCAACTGACCGATGCTATTCATGTCTCGGATACTTACGTTTTCGTCTCAATGCCAGTGATTTCTCCGGAGAAGGAGAAGAACTCGTAAATGTCCTTCTCAGACGCTTTGTAGGAGATGTTGGATGCCTGGATTGAAAACTGCAAGCGGATGGATAGAGAAGGAAACAATGCCATGTAAGGGGTGGAGAGGGGTGAAACTCGAGGAAGTTATGGAATGTGGAAAGACGGCGAGGGAACAGGATGAGGAGGAAGATGCAGGTAGAGGGAGACCCGGAGAAAATTGAATCAGAATCGGTAAATGAGAAAGCCATAGAAGCAGAAATAATAAAATAAGGGCTGGATGACGGAGCGTACCCCCATAGTGTCTGCCTAGGTTATGAGACTTGACGCGAGACGGGAAGCAGGCCGGCGGCCGATAAATAAGAGAGCACTCTCGTTCGAGGCCGTCACGTCTATGTGAGACGAAACGTTCGAGAATGCTTTGCCAAAGTTTCCCAGTTACACTGAATCGTATGAATACCAAAGACCACAGCAGGATCTTAGGAATCAAGGGACGGCTCTCTGCTTCCCCGCAAATCGCGGAACAACGACTAGATGAACCACCAGTGCAACAAATGCTCAAGGGTGAATATTATTTCGAACGTCAGCTGAGGTGACTGACCACCCCTCTAGGGTGGAACTGTGCTGGTGTGATACTTGCTGGTAGGTGGCTGCGATTATCAATCACAGACATTACAACCTCTTACCGTACAGTAATGCAATTCACCGTACCGTACTGTGCCGAAATGCATCTGTAAACTAGCAATCCCTAATGCGCGGGTGCAGTTGAAATGTGAAAATGCCGATGAGCGGGCGATGTGTCGCGCGAAACCAAGAGGCGGGAAATGAGCTAGTGTGCTTCCACAGAGGGGGGGCGGAACGGAAGTTGGGAGAGCGGAAAATGGAAGAGCGGAAGCGCGGAAGTGGCAAGGTGAGGGGAAAGGCTGGTAGTCCCCTCCCCAGGAAGGCTAGTTCTTCTAGAGGAAGCTGAGCTTCGGGATCACTGAGAACCGGCCAACAGTGTGCAGGCTTGGAACACAAATCTGTGGGTTTGGTTTGTATTGATTGGCTCGGTACTGCCAGTTTGATGGAGCATCAAAACGAAAAGCATTCTTACGAGACTCGGGCAGTATTGAGACACACCGCGTCACTCTATATGACTCGTAAAAGACAGTCCCTATGTTCAATTACACTACTTCCAACATATCAAAACAAGAGGGACACGCATTGCTACAAACCCCTATCGCCAATCCCACACCAACCTTAAGCATTTCAAAACGTTTCACAAACAAGCTTTGTACATCCCAGCACCTGTACGGACAAGCTTCTTCTGTACTCCAACCACTACTCCCTACACTATGCTCAGCATCAATGCAGGTCCTTTAGTGGGGGAGCAGATGCGGATGGAGAATCAGCCTCAGCCATCTCCTCCCGATCACTTTCTTCACCATCATCCTCCCCGGTTATTTCTTTTTCGAACTTCAGTTGCAGCAGCATGGCTGAGAGGATAGCAGTATAAGCAGCTACCTTGGAGAACCGCATTGTGTGGCCGCTTACGAATGCTGCACCATGGGGAGCATTGGGGGCAGGGGATCGAATGAGGGGGATCTCGGGAACGAAAGAGAGGGATGGTGGTGGAGCAAGAGGCCTGGACCAGGGCGTTTTAAGCTCAAAACCGCATAAGCCGCATGAAAAAACTGGTGTTTCTTTTCACTGATACTGTTAACAAATCAGGGCCAGCGCAGCCTTCCACACCAGCCTGGCTCCGCAAAGCAGAACATCCATTGCATGAAAAGGAAAATGAAAGAAAATCGGGGAGACGGTGTGGGGGGGAGGGGGGGGGGGGGGGGAGAAGGCGTACCAGTTGTGGAGCTCCAGAGGAAGGACACTAGCACGAGCGAGAGGCCAGCATGGAGAATCCGTCTGTACATGGATACCCCTCCGTCCGTCCCCTCTCCACTCGCCCGCCCCTCCTGTTCCATCTCGCCGTCACAACCATCATCCCACAATCCCTCATCCCCATCCTGTGTGTTAATCCTGTCGGAGATAAGGATTCCATTAGATCGCTCACCCCCAGCACCACCACCGCCGCCACTACTGCTGCCACTGCCGCTGCTGATCTTGCTCGCTGTTGGAGAGTTCTCAAAGAGAGAAGCCTCTGCAGCAGTTGCAGACATGGCTGTTGCTGCAGCAGCAGTTCGGGACTTGGCCGCGCGGGACTGGCGAAACGCAGGGGAGGACGGAGGCGCGGAGGAGGAGGAGGAGGGGGATGGGCGGCGACTGAGGGGTCGGCGGCGGCGGGAGGAGAGCGAGGAGGAGGAGGAGGGGGAGTAGAGGTTTTTAAAGAAGAGCCCCTCGTTGCGTGAGGAGTATACGCGTCGCTCAAACTCCTCAAAGTCCTTCTGCTGGGCCTGGAGGGGAAGAGAGGCAGGGAAGGGAGCAAGAGGGAGAGAGGTGGGAGTTCGCGAGTGACGGAGTGGGTGCAACGGGTGTCTTTAAGAATCTATTGTGGCCGTAGTAAATGGGATTGTGATCGTCTTCATTATTGATGTCATGCGTCCACCTTCATTTTTTTATCTTTCATAAACCTCGCAACCCCCAAACCCCGACTCAGACGGAATCAAGATGCAATCCACAATTTGATTTCGGAATTTCTCTTCAAAAGCTCTAGAAGCCGAAACCGTTGCCACGCAGCATGCAGCTAGGAAAAGACGAAGGACGAATAAAGGATCACAGGGCAAGGTAGGGTTGGATAGGATAGGGTCCGGTAGGGTAGGGTTGGGGAGGTTGGGGTAGTGTAGGTGTAGGGTAGGACGAGCGAGCTCACCTCCATTTCCTGGCGTGCTTTCTCCAAGTCTCTCTCGATGGCGTATGCCCCCGCGTCCAGCTGACGCAGCACCTGTCGGTGGATGCCACGTGGAAACGTGCAAGTCATAAAAAAAGAAAGTGGTTGTTGTGAGAAAAGGAAAGCGCCAGAGCGCGCGAGACATCACAGAGGCCAAGACGTTGAAACAAAGATTCACTGGTCCAGATTTCGACAGAAGCACCACGATGACTGACGCAACACCCACCCCGTGGCTTCGTGGCGCGAGAGGATGCGTGGAAGCAATTATGACGACGCATCATCTACCACGCTACCGCGACGTCGGCGATGACGACGGCGACGAGGACGAACGACGGCGTCAGGCGACAACGACGGTGATGATGATGAATCGCCGATGCCTACGACTCCTCACGACAACTCGCGACGACTTGCGACGACTCGCGACGACTCACCCTGTCGCTCAGATCGTCGACGCCTTTCATGGTGCGATCGGCGATGCGATCCAGCTGCTCGTGGCTATCGCGCGCGATTCTCCTCAAGCGCGCCGAGCGCTCCTCCACCAGCGAGTTCATCCGCACCTCGCCCATCTGCGAACACAGTCGCCGTGCGACGCCGTGTGCGTCAGAAAGAAACGACGTAAGCGACAGGGGGTAGCGAGCACGTTCCTCAAATTCGAAGCGAACAAAGAAAGAGGGAGAGGAAGAAAGATTACGAGAACAAGCAAGCGAGATGAAGAGATGAGTTACCTCGATGAGGAAAGTTCTGGCAAAAAAATCAAGTAGCCTTACCTGGAGCCGCACTATATCCACCAGCATGCGTTGAACCTCGTCGCTCCTCCTCGATTCTTCGCCCGCGTCGTCCCACCCCCTGCTCCGACGACTGCCGGCGCTGACGACGAGACTCCGGCGATCGCCTAGGGTTTCGTTGGCGCCGCCGTGCGACGGATTGCGAAAGCCGCGACGATAGGCGCGGCACGCTGGCGAGGCCAGTGCGAGAGGTAGTCGGAGAATCTTGGATTCCGACGGCACGAGGTGATGCGACGAGTGTAACGACGCGGTGGCAGCGGCGGTGGCGGCTGCTGAGCTTCCCGAGGCACCCGATAACGAGGACGTAGTGTACACGCGGCTGGTGGTGTAACTGGTTGCGGAAATAGATTCCATGGCGGCGGATCAAGGTGAGAGGAAACGGACAAGTGGCCAACGGGCGAGTGATTGCGTCTGGAGTTGCCGGTACGTTGGAGGTGCCTCGTTGACTCGAACCGTTGAAGGTGCCCGTTCTTGAAGTTCTCGCGAGTTGTGGCTCAAAGAACTCTCACCGAAGGTACTTCGCCTCGAGCGTTTGTTTCGTCGGAGAGAAACGAGACGTGTTGCCACAAGATGGGCTACCAGAGCGGGATGCGCACGGGATTTGATCGCGCCGCGGCTGGGTGTTTCTGCTCCTCACTCGGAACGGCTTGGAAGGCGAGATTCCTCCGAGCAAACCCGCATGTGCTTCCGAAACGCGTTAGAATCGTTTTAAAATTCAGTTGAGAGGTCCGGGGCACGGGCTGTGAGGCGTGTCTAAGAGTCCCAACTTGTTGAAAAACCGCGAGGAGCCAGATGTTTCCCAAGTTTCACCTCCTACGTTACTCTTCCACACAAGGAGACAGAAGACAAACCGCGACCGATGAGAACGAGTGGAATTCGCAAGGAGACTTCGATTACTAGGCTCGAAGACCGAGGGAGAGTGACTGACTATGCAATCTAGTTGAATCGTAGTAAGCAAGAGGATCCACGGAGGCGTACGAGATGGCGAGTGCAACGAACCACACGGCACGGATGGAAACGAAACCAAGGCAGAGGTGCGGCAAAATCAGCAGCTTGTGGAAGATCAAGAATAGTTGAGAGGTGCAATGAATCGATCAACTGGGACAAAGACTCAAGATACAACACAACGGAGGGACGCAGCGTGCAAATGAGCGGTTGAAGGTGAGCAAAGGGGTTGAAGGGAGAACTTCAGGTTGGTGGTTGGGAAGAACGAGAGCACTAAGGGAGGAATTCGAGCGTCCAGATGAGTGCGCAAGGAAGATGTTTCTCCTTTGAAATCCCAACCGAATGAACTGGGAAATCATCAGCCCTAGCATGGCACATTGTCACGGAAACGCGCTTCGGGAGGGCCTTTGCTGAATATAATGTTGTCAGGGCGTGTTCCCATAAGAGACCACCCGGCTGTTTAGAAAAACAACATGCTCAGAGAGCCTTGCATTTACTACTGCGCGCCGTCGGTTTCTGTACTAAGTTTTTTTGATGACCGAGAGCCAGTATTGTGAACGAGGCTCTCATGATTCAGAGTTCGCTTCGGGCCGCGAATGGTGGCGAATTCATGTTCCAGATCTCCTTCCATATTCGCGCTCTTTGTTGCCCACCTGCGATCACCTAAAAACACGTACCAACATCCAATAGCATGTTATGTCGTAATTTGATTGACCTATGACAATTGCCAGTCCGAGGAATCTCCACTTGGAAGGCGCTGATTTGGTTAGCAGCTCAATGAGCTTTGTCACGTGGTTTCTGATGCGTCATGACATGGCAAGCATGCGGCGAGTCGCACCTTCTTACAAAGTTTGTAGACTCATTTCCAATGTGGTCCACGTCATGACAATATGAAAAGGTTCACTCGCCGAAATAGCCACCTGCCCTTTCAGCTTACGAGAGGCCAAGCCATGAATAAATGGAATTTCGCTCAGACACGTAAGACCACGTCTATTTTTTCAACACACCAATGGCACAACTCTTTCGCATTGTTTGCGGAGAGATAATGGGACCCAATCCCACGTTTCCTTTGCACAGACACTGTTACACCATAGAAATAGTAAATCCACATGTACTGTTTATAAATTGCACAGACCCCCCTGAACTAATGTTACAGAGAATATGGTGTCATTGCAACAAAAATATTTTATTCAAGATTTGTGAACATTAATTTTCAGCTGAAGCATATATAAATTCTGTGTGTATTAATTATATGCATCGTGAGATATAGGTAAAAGAAGAAATAGAATTGTAATGAAAGCGCTGTATTTGTAATGAAGCTGCATTTGTGCAACCTGTCGGTTCGAGGACTGAACCAGCCTGTTCAAGACTGACATTCTCGCCCTTTCTCTTCTCTGTTCACTCTTTGCTCTTGGACAATCTTTCTCCTGGAATTGTCGTGTTGGTCCTCTAATCTAATCTTCGGCGCGCAGTCTCTCCGATCACTGTTTGCCGCTGCTAGACGAACCCCTGCTTCTTCTGTCCTCCCGCTGGGTCTCCCTACGGGCTTTCACCCGACTTCCTGTGAGTGTGACTCTTCGGATGCTAATAAATTCGATCTACCGTGCAGCTAGGTGCTGTAGGATCCGTGTACCAAATGTAGTGGTTGCGCGTTTCGTTTGGATTTTCTGTGGCTTTCCATTTCCCCCTCCCCTAACTATGTGAGCACTTGGTGGCAGAAAATTAAGACTGTGCTTGTTTTGATTACCACCGTCGACTAAGATCCTTCTCAGTTCAGATTTGAAAATTCGGATCTTGAATTCATCAGATGCGGAAGGCTGTTCTCTGGTCTGGAAGGGAAGGGCCTGATCGGAGGGAATTGGTGATCCTCTTCGCGCTTTGAAACCGCTGGTCGAATCTCGTTGCTTTTAGGATCTCGTAACTTGCAGATTCTTGGAATCTGTAACCTTCGGTCACTCGGAAAATCTGTTAACTTGGGGATTTTTTGTAGCCTGCTTTTTTTCTTCTTCTTCTTCTAAATAAACGTTTGGAATCTCGGTAGGATTGTGGTAAGGCTTCTTTGATTGGACCCTCACCCTTCACAAGTCTTGCACCTTCAGGTTATCATGGTCTTTTTGCCTCAGGAGCCCGAAAGGAGCAATTTCACCATGACGTCCGATCGGTTTCATGGTCATATCTCATGTGACGCTGATTCGTGTCGTGATCTTGTGATCTCCAAATCGCGTGACATCTGGCGTTTCTTTTAGGCACCTTCGAAATTGGCTCGTCTAGCATGATGGCATGCTGATGATGGGTGGTGTCTTGTTCTCAAGATGTCATTTCAGAATCGTTAGGAATCCAGAGCCCTGGGATCACTAGTCAGGCAGAGTCGGTAGGATTGTAAAGAAAATGAACCGCACAACATTCAGGCTTGGGTCGTTTGGGTATTCCTATTCACCACACCGTCGTTCCTACCACCCCCAATCTCATGCCCGTAGTTTGAGTCGAGTCATAACGCACTTCTGAGAATAGGATTCTGCACCACATTCACGTTTCAGATGCCCCTCTTCACCATCCCCTTGCTCCTCCCACTCCGCTCCCAATCATGCAGAGCCAGAGTTGGCGGTGCAGTGCAGTGCAGTGCAGTGAAGGCCAGAGGAGGAGGGAGCATGGGGGACGCGGGATTGCAGGCAGCGGTGGTGGATGGGTTGCGGGCGCACTTGCAGCGAGTGAGAGTGGCCGATGGCAGCACACGCGTGTTCAAGGAGGAGTGCTGCATCACCTTTGATACCCCGGTTCGTCTCTCCTCCTGCCTGCCTCTGCGTTTCTAAAGTACCCACTTTTACGTTGTAGAGCCGGCTTATAATTTAGTTTGCGTGTTCAAGGAGGAGTGCTGCATCACCTTTGACACACCGGTCCGTCCCTCCTCCTCCCTGCCTCTGCTTTTCTTAAGTACCCACTTTCACGTTGTTGAGCCGGCTTATAAGTAAGCACGTGTGTTCAAGGAGGAGTGCTGCATCACCTTCGACACACCGGCTCGTCCCTCCCTCCCTGCTTCTGCCTGCTTGCCTGCCTGCCCGCCTCTGCGTTTTTCAAAAGTGCATCTTTGAGGCACCTGTAAAATAGTCTGCACACACGCGTGTGTTCAAGGAGGAGTGCTGCGTCACCTTTGACACTCCCGTTCGCCCCTCCCTCCCTCCCTCCCTCCCTCCCTCCCTGCTCCTGCCTGCTCCTGCTTGCCGGTCTGCCTGCCTCTTAAAAAAAAAAAAAAAGTACATTTTTGAGGCACTTGTCAAATAGGCAGCACAGTGTGTTCACCTTCGACACACCCGTCCGTCCCTCCCTGTTCCTGCTTGCCTGCCTGCCTGTCTGCCTGCCTGCCTGCCTGCCTGCCTCTGCTTTATTCAAAAGTGCATCTTTGAAGCACCTGGCGTTCAGTGAACACATTTGTAAGGCGCCTTCTCTATTCCTCCCTTCCCCCGCCTTCCCCTCCACCTTAACAGCGGTCAAAGACAGGTCTCCTGGTGGATCTCAACTCCTTTCTGGCGTTCAGTGAGCGTGCTGCTGCATGGCAGCACGCTAAGACAGGCAACGCAGTGTTCCTGCGAATCCGAGAGGTGGAGAAGGAGAAAGAAGGGAAGGAGGACGAGGAGGGTGAGGAGATGGACAAAGAGCCGCCGTCTAAGAAGCCAACACTGCTGGCCATAGGTGTGTGCGTTTTTTTACTGGAGGGTAAAAGCCGTAATAAATGAAGAGTCACGCTGGCTGGTTGTGAGAAGTTTTGTGGTTCCTGAACGGTTTTCGCCTTCTTTCTCTCTTGTCCGCTGCACGGGTTTCCTATCTATCTTCCGCTGCATCAACTTCCCGAGTCGTCCCTTCATGTCATCCCCTCCTCCCTCGTTCCTGCAATGCTTTCGTTCCCTCTTTCCCCAACACTTGTGCTTACCAACCGTGCACTCCCTCCCCGATCCTTGTTCTTTTCCAACAACTTCCCCTCCGTCATTCGTCATCCTTCCTAACCACGTTCTGCCCCACTCCAGGGGTAGAAGGCGGGTTCAATCCTGAGAAGGAGGTGCAGTATGAAACTCGTTACAGTGTGGTTCTCTTGCCGGATAAGCTCGAGCTGCCCTACCCCAACAACGACCTCCCTGAGATTGTACGACGATTGCACAGTTATAGGTTCACAGGTTTGTCAAATCATAGGCCTGTATATCTACAGGGTTCTGTGTAGGTACAGGGTTCAGGGAACAGGGTTCGAGCTTAGGGGTTTAGGGCTCAAGGTTCACTGCACAGGTTTAAGGTTCAATGCTGAGGGCTCCAGTTTCAGGGTGCAGGCTCAGGCTGCGCTGCGTTTTCAGGGTTCAGGGCTTAGGGGCCAGGGTTCAGGTTTGGCAGTCCTTGGGAATGCCGAGCTTCCTTCTGTTTCCACCTTGTTCCCCCCCCTTTCTATCCGTGATAGCACACTGAACAGATTCGCATTTTGGTGCAATCTGTGATGGCAGCAGAGGGCGCGCTGTTGACTCAAAACCCACCTTGTTGCTCCCCTCTCTCTCTCGAACGGTCCGTCGTATTAATATCAACAAGGTACACACAGGGTAAGGAAGCAAGACACACACAACCTGGCTACAGGTGCAATCCCCTATCCTAACACCCCTACACCCGCCCCCTTTCCCTTCCGGCCCTAGTGGCCGGAGGGGTCTTCTATCAGTTGGTACAGCTGGCCCTCGCTCAGTGGAGTGAAGGGTCCCTGCAGGCCAAGCGCATCCTCGGTAAGAGCCTCATGGGTCTTATCCCTGAGGGCGTTGGCTTGGGCTCTCTGTAGGGTCACGCTCCATCGCTGTCGGTACTCGGTAAGTAGTTTTGCCACCTCCCTCGACTTTGGGGAGGCGTTAAACCGCCGCTTTGCCGCTAGCTCCGCGCAGCTGCGAAGGAAATCCAAGTATCAGGTGAGGGGTAGCCATAGGTCTCCACGGCCATGGCGTAGAAGCCCACCCATGGGCTCCGCCCGGCGTACTTTGTCTCTTTTTTGTCCGCTTGCATCCTAGCCGCCCACCCGGGGGCCTTGCGCGCGTACTCGTCTTGGTGGGAGATAGGGTCTGTGACTGTGATGTCACAGATCCACACTGCACCGGTGTCGGGATGGCGGATAGAGATATCCGCTTTGAGGTTATCGACCGGTGAGTATGCCGTTGTCTCCTTGTGCACCGTGAATCCCGCCTCAGCCGCGATCTTAGCGCACTCGTCGCGCAGGGCATTGTGCGTGCTAATTCTCCCCCCCCCCTTTCTCACACCGCATCAAGTGATTCGGCAGACGGTCGTCCGGGAAGGTGGTGCGGAATCTGCAGTTGCAGCGTCTCGGCACTGGTAAGGGCAGTCCGAGGCGGAAGGATGCCGCGGTGGAGAATTGGGAGGGGCCGAGGCGGAGGGGAGAGATCAGGGGGATGGCGAGCAGCCAATCCCCCGCCCCTGGGCCTAAGAGGGACTGTAGTCTCTGTGTGTGGCCAAACAATGGGTTCAGATCCATGGTCCGCGAGCTATCCAGGAGTCGGATGTAGCGCGCGGTGTGCACCGCGAGGGAGAGAGCTTGCTGCAGCTTTGGCCCGTTAGGCTTTTGCCTCCCAACTTGCAGGGCCTCTATTCCGTCTGGTGGCAGCTCGGCTTCCAGGGTTGCGAGGCGACGTGGGAGCAGGGAGGTGGAATCGCCGTCCGCGTCCATCAGCGGCAGCAGACCTGGTAGGGCCGGGTTTGCCGCGTCGCCGAAGGAGCGTAGCAGGTGGGAGGCCGCTACAACTGATGCCAGGTAAGCAAATCTCCCCTCCACCGCAGGGTTAGTAATGCCGAGGCCTCCTAGGGATGCAGGCAGCGCGGCTTGGTGCCAGATTCTGTCCCGCTCTGCCCGGTCCCTGGGGACCTGCGTGTGTGCCGCGGCCAGATAGGTGTGGAGCAATTGTTCCCCCCAGGCCGACCATTCTTCCTGCGGAAGGGCTTCGGGGGGCGTGGCTCGGACCAGGAACGAGGCGCGGCGGCCTACGCAGCGGGTGAGTAGTAGCAGGCAGAGTTGGGGGTCCATCTGTGTGAGGAGCGCGAGAGGTTCGGCTGCTGCTGCGAGGCGCTCGCGAACTCTGGACGCGCAACCTGTGGGGGGGGCCGATGGGGCTGCCTAAGACGCGGACTCCGTCCTGTGATATTGTGATGTTGGGAGGTAAGGTGGAGGGGTCGAGCGCAGCTGCGGACCACGCCTCACACTTCGAGGGGTTGTGGACCAGCCCATGAAGTTGAAGGGCTTCCGTGAGGTGTGCAAAGGCTGCCGTGCAGTTGGCCGCCTCCCCCAGCAGGGTGATGTCATCAGCATACGCCAGAAACACCACCTCCGGATGTGCCGCCGCCGATTGGACGAGGCAGGGGTGAATGCTGGCTGCAAACAGCATGGGTCCTAGCGGGTCCCCTTGACGGACTCCCCGGGCGCTCCTTAGAGGTTCTGCTCCGAAGTCATGGTCGAGGTAGAGCGCCGATGGGTTGCCGTATGAGAAGCGAACGAGGGGCACCAAGGCTTCGAGGTCGGTGCCTTTCAAGCCCTCGAACACTGCCGCGCGCTCGACTGCATTGAAGGCGTTGGCCAAGTCTATCTGCAGCGCTGTCGCTCTTGGGAATTCCTCCAGGTGGGTACGTGCTGTGTGGATTGCCGCCTCTATTCCTCCTGCGATTGCTACTCCGAACTGTAGCGGGGTGAAGTGCTCACGCGCCGCTGGTGCGGCTAGGAAAAGGGCTGCCTTGGCCACGAGGCGTAGTAGGCATTCGCCTACTGCTATCGGCCGCGTTCCACCCTTTGGTTTCGAGAAGGCGAGCAGTCGTGACGCTGTTAGGAGTTCAGCCACGTCCGCCGTCAGCTTTCCAGAGAGTGCCGTGTTGGTAAGTGCATGCAACTGCAGGAAAACGTCCCCGTTCCCAAGGGCCGCATCTCTGAGGTGCTCAAAGGTGGTGCCTGATGGCCCAGCCCCCACTCCGTTGGGGCATTTTGCCAATAGTCGCCTGAAGTCCCGGGCAGCGATGGCAGGGACGTTCTCTGGGGCGAAGTCGAGCACCCAGGAAGGTATGGCCGTGGCGGTGTCTGGGTGTCTGGCTTTGAGCGCGTCAAGTACTTCGGCGCTCGGCGTGCAGACTGGCGTGGCGGTCAGAGTCCGTAGTGATTTCGCCAGGTTCCCCCGTTTCGCCAGCCCTTCGGCCCGCGAGAGCTTGCCTGTGTCGTCAGGTGTGTGTCGTGGTTGGGGGTTGCTGGTAACCGTGTCAGCTGCCTCGTCGTACAGGTTGCGCCACTGACCTTGGCGAAATCGTGTCAGCCTGGCCCCCATGGCTTTCCAGTCGGGTGTGCGTGCTGACGAGGTGCGCAGCAGGATGCGCGGGAGGAACATCAGCAGCCTCCAGCCTGTGATGGAGTCGGGGTTTTTTGCCAGGTGCAGCAGTGGCGTCAGCAGGCATATCGCGAAGGATTCGCGAAGTGGGCGGGGTGGGTGGCGGGCAAGGGGTGGCTGTCTGCTGTCGCGCAGCGGGCAGAGGTCCCAGTTGGCGACATCTGCGAAAAGGTCCTGACGGTCTGCGAGGTCGTCAGCGCTGATGATTGGGTCAGGGATGGCGGGCGTTGGGGCCGTGGCAATGGTTGGAGCGGTGGTAACCGCATTGAAGGGGGCGGCTCGGTTCTGCCTCGCGGTCCGATTTCTGGGAATTGGAATTGCAGATGCGTCTCGGCCTGGGGTTGGATTTTGGCCCGCTCCTTCGGCTGTGGCTCGGCTGGCAGGTTCGCCTCGGACATTTGGTCTGGCGAGCTCCTCTTCCCGAAGCAACAATTCAAAGTCATCCTCGTCCTCCTCGGCTTCCGCACCCATCATCCCCTCTCTTTCAGGGTTAAAGGCGGGGTCACCCTCGTCACTTCCTTCATTCTCCACTTCCTCCTCTGCCTCCTCGCCAGGTGGATCCTCGCCGCCCTCTGCGCCGTTTCGTATCTGCCTCTCCGCGTTTCTCGCGTAGCCGCTTGCACCGGTGCGGCGCTTGTTTGAACCCCGTGCTTCACCTCCCCTTCGTCCTCGTGCTGTTCCCCTCCGCCCGCGGCGGCTGCCGCGTCCCACGCGTATTCCGCGCGTTGCTCTTCCTACAGCAGCTCCCCCGCGCTCTGTTTGCGGCGCAGCGGCCACTTCGTTGTCGCGTTGTCGGCGCGCTGGCGTCGGCCGTGGTGCGATCGGGGGTGATGGACCCATCCGCGAGACGGGATCCGGAGCTGGAGGGATCCGCGGAGAGCGCGTTGCCGTCGCCTGCGCCCGCCGCGCCTCGTCCGCGCTTCCTCGCGCACCCCTCCGCGAGCGAGCCCGTCCGCCGCTTCGAGCGGGTGCAAACTCTTCCCCCTCAGCCTGCCGCGCGCCCAACCTCGCCGGAGTATTCGTGGGCGCCTGCACGTGTTGCGTCGAACCGTCCGGAAGGTCCGCCGCGGCAGGAGCGCGGGCGCTCGCCTCCACGTCAGCCTCCTCGGCAGCCCTCTCCTCGCCGCCCTTCCCCTGAGCATTGCGAACATTATCAGCGAGGGGGGGGGGGATCAGCGCTCCCCCGCGCGTCCTTGCTCCCCTCGCCGCCCATCCCTTCGTGGTCGGGCAGGCCAGCGCTCACCCCGAGCGCGATCCCCCGCGCAACGCTCTCCGCGGCGATCTCCGGCGACGCGGGGAAGGGGGTCTGGTCGCCGCGGGCAGACCTCCCCACGTCCACATTCGGCTGGTTCCGGGGGGCGGCGTGGCCGGCGGGAAGGCGGAGGGCAGGGAGGGAATGGCCACCAGGGCGATCCTGCCCTTGATCACGCCGCGGACACGTTCGTGGAGGTGGTGAGGCAGGCCCGGGCGAGTGGGGCTCCGACTCACGTCCACATTGAGGTGACCAACGGTCCCCCCTTCGCCGCGGACCCCAGCCAGGTTGCTCCGCTGCGCGCGCCCACGCTGCGCGAGTGTCAGCCCGCGCGTGAGGGGAGGGCTCAGTTCCGCACCCCTCGTCCGGTTCCCGGCTTCTCTGTACCGCGCTTAACTGTTGGCCGGACTCCAGGCTGGCCGACGGCGTTTCCGCGCGAAGAGCTGACTGCACCTCCCCCCACTCGCGCGGGGAAAGACCCCATGCTGACCATGTGTCGGGTTCTGAACCTGGCGGAGGCGAGCGAGGTGGTGGCGAACTTGCAGCTGGCGGTGTGTGGGGCCACCCGGAGCTTTCGAGCAGTTTCGGTCCAGGATCCCGAGGATCCTGCGTGACTTTGGCAGAATCGCTCGAGTCGCCGTTGGCGCCCGTGTCGGAAGCGCCCGCCGGGGTAGCTCCCTTAGCCCGTACTTTCCCCCGCCACGTGGGGGATCTTGTAGGGGCTGCTCAGGCCGGGACCCCCCTGGACATGCTCCAGTCATCGGCGCATCTCCTTCTTGCGGTATCGGCGTGCATGCGCTCGATGCTTGAGATGGAGGGGGCGGAGCCGTACACGATGTAGGCCTCCGCCGCGTGTAATATTGCATGCCGTTCTCTCTTGCCTAGGCTCTGCTCCCTTGATTCCTTTGCATGCGTGTTCTTCCTGGTATGGCAGTCCACCGCCTTGTTCCTTGCCACCAGGAGCGCGCGGCCGAAGGCCGCCGGCGCGAGCCGCCGGAAATGAACTCCACACGAAATAATGAGGAGAAGGAGAGAGGAACAGCCCTTAAATAGCTCTGGAGGGCGGAGGGCAGAGGGATGAGGCAGAGGGCAGAGGGCTAAGGGGTTTCCTCTCTCTCTCTCTCTCTCGCTCTCTCCCGCCGGAAATGAACTCCACACGAAATAATGAGGAGAAGGAGAGAGGAACAGCCCTTAAATAGCTCTGGAGGGCGGAGGGCAGAGGGGTGAGGCAGAGGGCAGAGGGCTAAGGGGTATCCTCTCTCTCTCTCTCTCTCTCTCTCTCTCTCTCTCTCTCTCTCTCTCTCTCTCTCTCTCTCTCTCTCTCTCTCTCTCTCTCTCTCTCTCTCTCTCTGCGCAGATCTGCATGTCTGTGGAGTCAGTGATAGCAGCAGTCCTTTGCCATGCCTCGAAAGTCAAAAGTGTTGAGTTGAGGCGCTTCAAAAGCCTTCTCATTCCACCTTGTTGCCCCCCTCTCTCTCACTGCAGATCCGCATGTTGGTGAAATCTGTGATAGCAGCAGAGGGCGCGCTGACTTTTCGGTCGACTCAAAAGCCACCTCGTTGCCCCTCTCTCCCCCTCTCTGCACAGATCCGCATGTCAGTAGAGTCGGTGATAGCAGCAGAGGGAGCGGAGCGGAAGCAGCAGGTGTCGGCGTGGGTGGCGGACAAGAAGCGAGTGGCCAAGAGCGCGCTCTCCCTCGTGCAGCTCGACAACGGCGTCACCGTGCCGTCACTGCCCGCGCTCTGGCAGTGCTCCAAGTGCGACAAGCGGGAGAATCTGTGGATGAATCTGAGCGACGGGACGATTCTTTGCGGGAGGAGGAACTGGGACGGCACGGGCGGGAACGGGCACGCGCTGATGCATTACGAGGAGACCAAGTTTCCGCTTGCTGTGAAGCTGGGGACCATCACTCCGGATCTGGAAACGGCAGGTGGGTTGTTGTGGATGGATGCTTGGATAGGTGGGCTTTGTGTCAGGAGTAGATGTGCGGAAGTGGAAGCAGGGGGGTGGGGGGAACGGGCATGTGCTTTTGCAGGCGCTCTGGCAGTGCTCCAAGTGCGACAAGCGGGAGAACCTGTGGATGAATCTGAGTGACGGGACGATCCTGTGTGGGAGGCGGAATTGGGACGGCATGGGGGGGAACTGGCATGCGCTGATGCATTACGAGGAGACCAAGTTTCCTCTGGCGGTGAAGCTGGGGACCATCACTCCGGATTTGGAGTCAGTTGGTGGGTTCTGAGTGGGTGTTATGAATGGGTGGAAGCTGCACGTGTGTCAAGAATAGGTGATGCGAAAGGGAAGGAAGCAGGGAGTGGGGGAGGAGAGGGATTGGCATGCGCTGATGCATAACGATGAGCCCAAGTTCGTGCGACTTTTGAGTCGACTCAAAAGTCACCTGGAGAGGGATTGGCATGCGCTGATGCTGATGCATAACGATGAGCCCAAGTTCGTGCTTGCTGTAATGCTACAAGGCGCAACTTCTCCTTCTTCTTTCACTGCCTCGGCTCCTCCTCTCTTCCCTTCCTCTCTCTTCCTGCTATCAGTCGTGTATTCATACGAGGAGGATGACACGGTAGAGACCCACTTATAGCCTGTGTGCGATGCGATGCTACAAGGCGCATTCATTCATATCCTTCCGATCATCGGTTCCTACTCACCCGTGTCCCCCCATCCGTTGCTGCCACCAGATGTGTATTCATACGAGGAGGATGACACGGTTGAAGACCCGCTGCTAGCCAAGCACCTCGCGCACTTTGGCATTGACTTCTCCTCGCTCTCCAAAGTAAGCACCACTGCCAACACAGTCAGACGGGCCTTCGTTCTTGAGGCTCCTCGTTACTTGAGGCTCCTCGTTACTTGTTAAAGCGCCTCAAAAGTCCCCTGCTAGCTAGTTAAGCACCTCGCGCACTTCGGCATCGATTGCTCCTCGTTCTCCAAAGTAAGCACCACAGCCTCATTGCCGCACCATATTGACAGTGGGCTCGTTTCTTGAGGCCCTCGTTATTTCTTGAGGCGCCTAATCAAGGTCCTCTGCTGGTTAACCAAGCATGCCGCACATTTTGGGGTTCTCTTGTCCTCGCTCTTCAAGATAAGGCAAGGCGCACTGCCAAACACTGCTGCACAGCATAGCCACACTGTCTCAGGTGCCAGACGTTCACACACACACACACACACACACACACACACACACACACACACACACACACACACACACACACACATGCTTCCTCCCCCCCGTCTGCCATGCCCCCCACATCTATCCCACCTACCCCCACCAGACGGAGCAGATGACAGCAGAGAGGGAGCTCTATCAGAACATGAGCTTCGACCAGAGAGTTTGCATCACACCCGGCCTCTCCGCCCACCACTCCTCCCACCTCTCCCCCATCCTCCCTACTATCAGACGGAGCAGACGACAGCGGAGAGGGAGCTGGATCAGAACATGAGCTTTGACTGGAACCGCATGCAGGAGCAGGGCAAGACGCGTCAGCCATATCTGTTCTGAGTCGCACGGAGAAGCGTTTGTTGAGTCAAGTCCAATTCCCCTCCCACACTGCCTTCTCCCCTGCTCTCCCCTGCTCCCCCCTGCTCCCCCCTGCCTCCCCTCCCGCCTCCCCTCCTGCCTCTCGCCCTGCCTCCCCCTCTCCCTCTCTCCCTACTATCAGACGGAGCAGACGACAGCGGAGAGGGAGCTGGATCAGAACATGAGCTTCGACTGGAACCGCATGCAGGAGCAGGGCAAGACGCTGCAGCCGCTCTTTGGCGCTGGCTTCACCGGCCTTGCTAACCTCGGCAACAGGTGTGCAGCGGGCTTGCCTCGGCAACAGGTGTGCAGCGTGCTTGCCTCGGCAACAGGTGTGCAGCATGCTTGCCTCGGCAACAGGTGTGCAGCATGCTTGCCTCGGCAACAGGTGTGCAGCATGCTTGCCTAGGCAACAGGTGTGCAGCATGCTTGCCTCGGCAACAGGTGTGCAGCGTGCTTGCCTCGGCAACAGGTGTGCAGCGTGCTTGCCTCGGCAACAGGTGTGCAGCGTGCTTGCCTCAGCAACAGGTGTGCAGCGTGCTTGCCTCGGCAACAGGTGTGCAGCGTGCTTGCCTCGGCAACAGGTGTGCAGCGTGCTTGCCTCGGCAACAGGTGTGCAGCGTGCTTGCCTCGGCAACAGGTGTGCAGCGTGCTTGCCTCGGCAACAGGTGTGCAGCGTGCTTGCCTCGGCAACAGGTGTGCAGCGTGCTTGCCTCGGCAACAGGTGTGTTTGTCTCGCTGTGACTCGTGAGTCGATTAATAGCCCGTGTCATGTCCCCTCCCTCCCTCCCGTTGAGGGAACTTATAATAATCTTCAAAACCTCCCCCTTTTTCCCCTCCCTCCCTCCCGTTCTCGCTCCTATCCCCCTCTTCTGTCTCTCCTGCTCCCCATGTCAGCTGCTACCTTGCCTCAGTCATGCAAGTGCTCTTCTCAACTGATCATTTCAGCAACAGGTGTGTGTGTGTGTGTGTGTGTGTGTGTGTGTGTGTGTGTGTGTGTGTGTGTGTGTGTGTGTGTGTGTGTGTGTGCACTGTGCGTGTGTGCTGTGCGTGTGTGTGTGTATAAAAGTCAACTACCTTTGTGTGTATGTCTCATTGCTGCTGCACCCCTCGTCCTTCTTCCCTCCCCTTCCCACCCCTCCCCCTCCCCCTCCCCCTCCCCCTCCCCCTCCCCCTCCCCCTCCCCTTTCTTCCTTCTCCCCTCCCTTCCCCTTCTTTCTCCTCCTCTGCGCTCCCCTCCCTTTTTCGCTGCCTGTCAAATTCACATAACCCTTTTTGGTATGTCCAACCACCACAACCCCGTCCTCCTTTCTGTTCTCTCCCTCCCCCTTCTCCTTTCTGGCATTTTAATTTCCTCTCACGCACTCCTCGTACTCTCCTCTTTCCCTCGTTTTATCGCCCTTTCCCTCTTCCCTCACCTTTTTCTTCCATTTCTCTCACCATCTCCTCCCGTTCTCTCCACCCTCCCATTTCTCCCCTCATGGCACATCGCTCTCTTCACCCCGCTTTCCTCCCCCTCTTCCCTACCCCCCTTCCCTCCCCCCCCTTCCCTCCCCGCCTTCCCTCACCCACTCTCAGTTTCTTCAAGTCTGTGTCGTTAGAGGAGGCATTTGCCAAGGCACCTGCTGACCCTACCGCTGACTTCGCCACCCAAATGTATCTCTCCACTTCTTCTCTCTATTCCGCCCTTTCATCAGTTTTCCGGCATGTAATTCTTTCTTCTTCTTTCTTAACCGTCCTTGCATTGATCACCAATAAGTATCGCTTCACTTCGTTGATGTTGTTCTCTCATCATTCTGTGTATGGAGTAGCAGCAGAGAGAGAGAGTGCTTTCTAGGCACTTCAAATAAAAAAAAAAAAAAAAAAAAAAAAAAAAAAAAAAAAAAAAAGCAAGAATAAGGTGCTTCTCTCATGCTAGCTACATTAGTCATTTTGTAGTGACTCGTGAGTGTGTTTCTGAGCGGACTGAAAAAAAATATGAGGAAAAGCAGCAGTGAAGCTGATGCATGGGCTGCTTTCACGTGAGTAGTCTCAACCTTTGGGAGGGCAATGAGCAGTGAAAGTGTTTTGAGACGTCTCAAAGCACTTATCACTTGAGTACTCTCACCCAGTAGGAGGCCCAGGAGCAGAGGAACGTATTAAGTGAAACGTAGCCAGTGGGCAAGTGAAACGTAGCCAGTGGGCAAGTGAAACGTAGCCAGTGGGCAAGTGAAACGTAGCCAGTGGGCAAGTGAAACGTAGCCAGTGGGCAAGTGAAACGTAGCCAGTGGGCAAGTGAAACGTAGCCAGTGGGCAAGTGAAACGAAGCCAGTGGGCAAGTGAAACGTAGCCAGTGGGCAAGTGAAACGTTCTCATGCCCATCTGCCCCCCGTCCCCTTTCTTCCCCACCCCACTTCCCCGGCCCTCCCCCCTGCCAGAGTGAAGCTGGCGCATGGGCTGCTTTCAGGGGAGTACTCTCACCCCGTGGCTGGAGGTAAAGGAAAGGAGAAGGAGAAGGAGAAGGAGCCGTATCAAGTGGGCATTCCCCCACGCATGTTCAAGAATGTGATTGGCAAGGGGCATGTGGAGTTCTCCACTTCCAGACAACAGGTGAGAGGAGAGGAGCAGACGAAAATAGGGTGCATGCTTGGTTACTGGGTAAAGGAGGAGGCAGGGGAGGTTCGCCAACCAGGCTTTAAGAATGTGATTGGCAAGGGGCATGTGGAGTTCTCCACTTCCAGACAACAGGTAAGAGAAAGAGGGGAAGTAGAGGGCATGCTTGGGTCAATGAAATGAAGGAGGAGGAGGTAACACAGAGGCAGCAACGAGGCAGCACTGGGGCAGCAGCACTGGGGCAGCAGCACTGGGGCAGCACTATATCAGCAACCAGGCTTCAACAGTATCTTTTGCAAGGGGCGTGCGGGGTTTCCAACCTCCACGTTCCATTTGCCTTGTCTCTCCATGTGGCCTGTGTCCCCCCATGTGCCCTGTACTGTATGGTCACCAGGACACCCGAGAGTTCTACCAGTACCTTCTCGAGCAGACTCAATCATAAAATATCTCAAGTCTCCCACCCTTTCTCGCACCCTCTCAATTCCCTGGTGCCCTGTCTCCCCCGTCCCCACGTGCCCTGTACTGTATGGTCACCAGAACTCCTGAGAGTTCTACCAGTACCTTCTCGAGCAGATTCAGAAGCTGTCATATCACCAACTTCTCCCTTACTCCTCTTAAACCCAACTCCACAACCCCATTCACCCATTTTCACCTTTTTTTTTTCCTTTTTTTTTTTTTTCCTCTGTGTGCCGTGTCTCCTTGTCAGGACGCCCTAGAGTTCTACCAATACCTTCTCGAGCAGGTTCAGAAGCTGCCCGCGCCAGCACCAGCAGCAGCAGCAGCAGCAGCAGCAGCGCAGCAACAAGCAGATAGCACAGAAGCGGGGAAGAGACCAGAGGCAGGAGGAGGAGGAGGAGGAGGAGGAGGAGGAGGAGGAGGAGGAGGAGGAGGAGGAGGAGAAAGAGGAGGGAGTGAGGGGGTGAGTGTGTGGCGCAGTGTGGAGTATGTGGTGGAGGATCGGATAGAGTGTGGGGCGTCCCAACAGGTCAAGTACACACACCGGCCCGACAACGTGCTCTCGCTCCCCATTCCCCTTGATGCCGCCACCAACCAAGGTGAGGCATGAAGAGTGCCGCATGAAGCTTTTTTTGGGGTGTTTTTGAGAATCCTAAAAAACACCCCCCCTTCCCATTCCCCTCGATGCCGCCACTAACAAAGGTGACAGGAAGAGTGCCCCATGAAGCTTTCTTGGGGCGCGAGAATAGCTTATAGGCTGCGATCCTAGGCGCCTCGCTGCGCCTGCTACTGCGGCCTTCCCTTGTGTATCCTCATTCGTACGTACATAGCACACCCACGCGCACAGCTTCTCCTCGTTCTATGTTCTGCCTGTTGTTGTTGGGCTGTGGCAGATGAAGTGGCAGCGTTTGAGGCATTGAAGAAGGAGAGAGAGAGCCGAGGAGAGAAAATGTACGTCCGTGCTGCCCGTGCCTTGCACCCATGCTGCTGCATTCGCCCATGCTGCTCCTTGTCCCCTTCCCCCACGCACACTCATTCCTCAGCCACATTCCCATTCTCTTCCTCTTTATTGTTCATCACTTGTTTTTGCTCTTGTGATCAGTCACTCCCCTTGGCATGCTGCTGCTGACTGCCTATTCACCCAACTTCTTCCCGCGATTCCCTCCTACCACCCTCCATCTCTCCAGGGCCAATGAGGAGGCGGTTCGCCCGTGTGTGCCTCTCTCTGCCTGCCGAGCTATTCACCTAGCCTAGCTTAATTCTTCGATCAAGTTTAAGGTTGTTTCCTACCCTCCCCCCCCCCCCCCCCCCCCCGTACCCTACGTCTCTCCAGGGCCAATGAAGAGGTGGTTCGGCCGCGTGTGCCTCTCTCTGCCTGCATTGACCGGTTCGCTGCACAGGAGAGCATTCCAGGTTTCTTCAGCACAGCTATTAACGGCCACACCACGGCACTCAAGTAAGAGTTTGCACCCTCCCAGAAGTTTTGAAGCCCCTTGGGTGAGTGAGACGTCTCAAAGACTCCTTTTCCTGCATACTCCTTTCTTCCAATTCCTTCCCAACAATCTTCCATCCCGCCCCTGCCTCCCCCTTCCCACCGCTGTGCAACGCAACCGGACAACGCGCTTTGCAACGTTTTCGGATGTGCTGGTGTTGCAGATGCGCAAGTACGTGCTCGAGTGAGGCATAATCTTGAAACCTCTCAAAACCCCCAATCCCTCCCTTCCCACACCTTCTCTTCCCCCTGCCAATTCACCAGGACGACGCGCTTTGCTACTTTCCCGGATGTGCTGGTGATGCAGATGCGCAAGTACGTGCTCGAGTCCGGCACCTGGGTGCCGAGAAAGCTCGGTGAGTGGGTCCGTGCTTTTGTGCAGAAACGTACCCTGTCGCTGTGGTGGTAACCCTATAACCAAGTACGTGCTTGAGTCTGGCACGTGGGTGCCCAGAAACCTTGGTGAGTGCATGAGTGAGTGTGTGGGTGGTGTATGTGTGCTGCCTTTGACCAGAAATCACTCTGCCATTACAGTGGTGTAATCACTTTGGCCCAGATGCGCTAGTACGTGCTCGAGGCCAACACTCGGGTGCCCAGGAAGCTTGGTGAGTGTAAGAGAGAGCGAGTGAGTGAGCGTGAGCGTGTGAGTGCGTGGGTGAGTGCGTGAGTGAGTGCTGCCTCTCCTCTCTTCACCTACTGTCGGCCGTTTAGTCCTTGCCCTCTCCTCCTTCCTCTTATTCCTCCCATGCCCGTCACGCTCATGTTGAAGTGAGGGGGCACACATTAGGTTTGAGACGTCTCAAAACTAGGTCATGCTCATGTTGAAGTGGGGGTGTGAGGGGGTACACATTAGGTTTGAGACGTCTCAAAACTAGGTCATGCTCATGTTGAAGTGGGGGTGTGAGGGGGCACACATTAGGTTTGAGACGTCTCAAAACTAGGTCATGCTCATGTTGAAGTGGGGGTGTGAGGGGGTACCCATTACGTGGCCCATTTTGGCGAGAATTGCCAAGTTTTACGAACGTGACGTTTGCCCGTGTGAAACTGCACAGTATTATGCACCAACAACACCTTCGCGCTGGCAAAATGGTTGGGCAATTGATTAATATTTGCCCTACCACGACGAACGTGATGTGATATTGTGAACCCTCGCTTTAGCTCCTTTCTCGCTTCCGCTCTTGAATATATCCACTCTCCTCTTTCCCGCCCAATCACCCCTCTCCCTTCCCCCACTTCCCCAAAAAAGGCCATGTGCAGACGTCTTTATAGACGTGCCTGATCGGATGGACCTCTCGCATCTGAGGGGAGCATCAAGGGGATGCAGCCAGGGGAGCAGGAGCCTGAGACGTCTTGAAACTCCCCCTACTCCCCCCGCTCCCCCACTCCCCACACTCCTCCCCATTGCAGACGTATTCCTGGACGTTTTTGAGTCGACTCAAAAGTCCCCATGCAGACGTATTCCTGGAAGTTTTTGAGTCGACTCAAAAGTCCCCATGCAGACGTATTCCTGGACCTTTTTGAGTCGACTCAAAAGTCCCCATGCAGACGTATTCCTGGACGTTTTTTAGTCGACTCAAAAGTCCCCATGCAGACGTATTCCTGGACGTGCCGGATCGGTTGCACCTCTCGCATCCGAGGGGCAAGGGGCTGCAGCTGGGGGAGCAGGAGCCTTGAGACGTCTCAAGACTCCCCCCACTCCCACCACTCTCCCCACTCCTGCTCCCTCCGCTCCCCCTGCTCCCTCCGCTCCCCCTGCTCCCCTCATTCTCTCTCTTCCAGATGTCTTCCTGGACGTGCCTGATCGGTTGGACCTCTCACATCTGAGGGGCAGGGGGCTGCAGCCGGGCGAGCAGGAGCTGCCAGAAGGTGAGAAAGAGGGGGGAGAGGGGGTAGTGACTACTTTTGAGACGTCTCAAAAGCCACCTCTCACATCTGAGGGGCAAGGGGTTGCAGCCGGGGGAGCAGGAGCTGCCAGAAGGTGAGAATAAGGGCGAAGAGAGGGGGGAAAGAGGGTGGAAGGGGGTGGGTTGGTGAAAACAGGTTTTTATACCCTCTTGAATGGAACGTTCGGTAAGGTGGGAGAAATGGGAGGAAAGAGGGGGGGGGGGGGGGGGTAGATGCTCCGTTAATGCATGGAGAGACAGTTCGGTTTTCAACTAGGGGAGCAGGAGCTGCCAGAAGGTGAATTCTTTTTTCTTCTATTTGTAGGTGCCCTTCTGTTGCTTCTTTAGGCGCCTCAACAATATTGCTCCCGCACACACCCCTGATTCTCCTCACTTCCTCTCTCGTCTCCTCTCCCCTTCCACCAGACTCAGCGGGAGGTGCGGGCGCAGGGCAAGGAGCAGCCGCAGCAGGAGCAGCATCACCAGGGCCAGCAGTGCAGCAGGCGGACGAGGTGGTGGTGGTGGTGGCGTCGCTGGAGTGCATGGAGTTCCTCGCTTCCTTCACTTCTCCCCCCCCCCCCCCCCCCTTCTCTTTCTCCCCCATCCCCGCACCACTTCCTCTCTTTGAACAGATGCAGCAGGAGAAGCAGGGTCAGGGCAAGTAGCAGCAGCAGAGCCCGGGCCAGCAGTGCTGCAGGCGGACGAGGTGGTGGTGGCATCGCTGGAAAGCATGGGGTTCCTCCCTCACCACGCCCTCTGTTCTCCTACCTTCTGCCCCCACCGCCTTTTTCCTTCCTCCAGACGCGGCAGGAGGTGAGGCCGCAGGCAAGGAGCAGCAGCAGCAGCAGCAGCAGCAGCAGAGCCCGGGCCAGCAGTGCTGCAGGCGGACGAGGTGGTGGTGGCATCGCTGGAAAGCATGGGATTCCTCTCTCCATCCTGTTTCTCCTCACCCCCCCCCCCGCCCCCCCTACTGCCTCTCTCTTAACAGATGCAGCAGGTTCGGGGCAAGCAGACGGAGCAGCAGCGGCAGCAGCAGAGCCCGGGCCAGCAGTGCTGCAGGCAGACGAGGTGGTGGTGGCATCGCTGGAGAGCGTGGGGTTCCTCCCTCCCTCCATCCTCCCTTTCTCCCTGCCCCCACCACCCCTTCTTTTTGAACAGATGCAGCAGGTTCGGGCCAAGCAGGAGCAGCAGCAGCAGCAGCATCACCCGGGCCAGCAGTGCTGCAGGCGGACGAGGTGGTGGTGGCGTCACTGGAGAGCATGGGGTTCCTCCCTTCCTCACCCACACACACACCCTCTTTTTCTCCTCCCTTCCTCACCCACACACACACCCTCTTTTTCTCCTCCCTTCCCCTCTGGTCTCCCCTCTCCTTCCACCAGACGCATCAGCAGGTGCAGGCGGGGCCCAAGCAGCAGCAGCATCACCCGGGCCGGCAGTGCTGCAGGCGGACGAGGTGGTGGTGGCGTCACTGGAGAGCATGGGGTTCCCGCGCGTGCGCTGTGTGAAGGCGGCGGTGCTGACGGGCAATGTGGGGGTGGAGGAGGCGGCCAACTGGATCTTCGAACACATGGACGATGCTGGTAGGACTCGCTGTGATTTCTTAGACAGCTTACAAATCATGCTTGCGCTTGTACAAGGCGGCGGCGGTGGTGACGGGCAATGCGGGAGTGGAGTAGGCGGCCAACTGGATCTTCGAACACATGGACGACGCTGGTAAGGTTTTGGTCAATAGGGGTCTTGCGTGTAATGCTCATCCATCAGCGTAAGAGGTTAATCTATCAGTTCAAGGATCATGTGTGTGCTGTGAGAAAGCGGTGGTGCTGACGGGCAATGAGGGAGTGGAGGAGGCGGCTAACTGGATCTTCGAACACATGGACGACACAGGTAGGGCTGTGCTTCGTTGATAGGGGTTGCCTGCTTCTGCTTTGATCTGTTTTTCAGATTCTTGTCAGGGCTTTCTTTTTCTTCTTCGGTTTCAGGTACGGTTGGTTCATTCTCCTGATTTTGATTCTGATCATACAACTGCAAGGTTCTGGCCTGAATGCAGTCTATATGTCACTCGTTTGTGCACCTGTTTTCCACCCTTCCCATCCTCCCCTCCCTCGCCTTACTTTCCTCTGCTGCAGACATTTGACGAGCCACTCCCCCCACCAGGAGCCCCATCCTTGGCAAGAGCTTTTAAGAATTTTAGAATTCACAGAGCCGACTCAGAGATATTCCCACCCTTCTCGTCCTCCCCTCCCTCGCTCTGCCCTCCTCTGCTGCAGACATTGACGAGCCACTCCCCCCACCTGGAGCCCCATCGGGAGCACCAGCAGCAGCACCAGCAGCGGCGGCGGTGAATGAGGTGTCTCTGGCAACGCTCATGTCCTTTGGTTTCTCCGACACTGCTGCTCGCACCGCACTCACTGCCACTGTGAGCGATCTTCTGTACCTTTCTCTCACCGTCTCTGTTTGAGGCGCCTCAAAGGTGGACGAGGGCGCTCGGGCAACGCCCATGTCCCTTGGTTTCTCGGACACCGCTGCTCGCAATGCTCTCACTGCCTCGTTGTCTGCCCCCTCGCTGGGGATGTTTCGGCTGGTTATTTTTGTGTTTCAACTACCTACTCTCAAGCCGCCCCCTTGTGTTTCCGCTACCCTCGTCCTAACCGACCATCAACCTTCACCCTGTTACCGCTGCTTACATTGCTCTTTCACCTCACTCCCCATTTTCCTCTTTCCTTTCGACTGCGGGGAGGGGGTGTGGAGAGGGCAGCGGATTTGATCCTGAACAACCCAGCAGAAGCGAACTTCGAGTCGACTCCAACGCTGCTGCTGCCTGCAATTCTTCCTCACCCCACTCTTCGTTTCCTCTTTTTCTATCTACTGCAGGGAGGCGATGTGGAGCGGGCAGCGGATTGGATCCTGAACAACCCAGCAGAAGCAGAAGCTCCTCCTGCTGCTGCTGCTGCGGCTGCAGAACCCACTCCCATGGATTTGCAGCCTTCAGGAAATGGAGCAGCGTCAGCCGTTGATCTTGATCCGACAGCCAGAGTGTCAGATGGCCCTGGAAGTAAGTCATTCTCAATCCTTCCCTTATCCATTCCCTATCACACTCTCCCCCTCATTTGTCTTGTTCCTATTCGTCCTCCTCCTCCCCACGTTTCCTACAGGACAGGTAGTTTGCCTTCATTGCTGGTGGCGGCTGCATTGCTGCGTTGCTGCCCCCGTTGTCTTCTCTACTTCTGCCCATCTACACCTCCTCTCCCCCCTCCCCACTCTCCCCTTCTCCCCTCTCCCCGCTCTCTCCCTCTCCCCCCTCTCCTCTCCCCTCTCCCCCCTCTCCTCTCCCCTGCACAGCCTACGAACTGTTTGCATTTGTGAGTCACATGGGGGCAAACACGCAGTGTGGGCACTACGTGGCACACATTCGCAAGGGGCCGGGGGGCGAGTGGGTGCTGTTCAACGATGCCAAGGTGGCCGTCTCCCAGGACCCACCCAAGGACATGGGCTACCTCTACTTCTTCCGCCGCTGCTCCGCTGCTGCTGAAGGAGCCTCCAGCTAGCTAAAGCCATTTTTGTTTCAGCTTGATACCGTACCTGTTCCTGCACACAAGCACCAGCCGGCAGCTGGAGGAGCATCTTCACCAACCGAGTTATGCTTGCGCCTGGAGATTGCTTCAGCTGACTGCAATGAGATGAGACATGTACCGTATTATGTTGCAGGAGGCAGCTGAGCTCTGCACGTTGCAGAATTTTTTCTTCCTGCTGATCTGCTGGTTTCTGCCCATTCCCGCTTTTTTTAGCCGTTGCTCTTAACAACACTGCTTCCAGATATGTTAGGCACAATGGCTTGGCTTGGGTGTGATGCTGGTTTCTGGCTGTGCTGCTGCAACTCATGCTTTACCCTGCTAGAAAGCGAAACCACCATGAAACTGTGTAAACGTTAGCAGGCAAACTTGAACCAAATGCATGTGAAAACGTTTTGTGGTTAGTGAACGCGAAATGAGGCTCCTTTTTCAGTCTGAAAGAGCATATCCATCTTGTGTAATACGGTAATACCACCACTAATGCTGCATCCAGTCTACACTCGTTGGATATCATTAGCACAGAACCAGTACCAGAACCAGTACGTACATTCCTCCCTTCACACCCGCACATGCCTCCTTCCACTCCTGCTTACTTGCCTTCACTGATCTCAGAGTTGCCTTGAGCTCTGCAAAAAGCTTTGTGTTTTGAGTCGACTCAAAAGAGAATCTGTGCTCCTTCCTCCCTTCACACCAGCACATGTCTCACCACCCTTCACTCCTGCTTGCTTGCCTTGGCTGATCTCAGAGTTGCCTTGAGCTTTGCGAAAAGCTTGGGGTTTTGAGTCGACTCAAAAGAGAACCTGTGCTCCTTCCTCCCTTCGCACCAGCACATGTCTCACCGCCCTTCACTCCTGCTTACTCGCCTTGGCTGATCTTAAAGTTGCCTTGAGCTCTGCGAAGAACTTCCTCTCCCAATGCCACCTGAAGGTGGAAATACGGGGGGGTTGAGGAACGGGGAGATGAGGGGGGGAACAACAGGGGGACACGGGGAAGGAAGGGAATCGTGGCAGAGTTGATTAAGAGGGGACTGTTCAGTCGACTCGAAAAGAGGGGACGAGGGAGGGAAAATGAGAGACGGAGGAAGTAGCCCAAGCCTCCTCACTGGCAGGCATGACAACAAAGTGCAGCGGTGGGGGACATGTGGCTTACCAATAACAGCATTCTTACCCCATGTCCCCTCCTTAACATTCCCAAATACCTTCCCTCTCTCCCAACCCTCGAGCCCTTAAGCCCCTCCCACAGCAATGCCTCTGTCTCCTACTTTTTCCCCGAGGCTTCCCTCTTCGCACTCACAATGCGCCAATTACGGCAGCAATGCACAGCGCGCCAATAGCAATGTTACTACATGCCCCATGCCCTTCCCCTCCTTCGTTTTCTTCTCCTTTTTCCTCATGCCCTTCCTTCAGACTCACAATGCGCCCATGACAGCTGCAAAGCACAGCGCGCCAATAGCAATGTGGGTGAGGGAGGCCAGAGAGAACGGGGAGGGAAGGGAGGCAGGAGAGGTGTAGCTGCCGCGAAAGAGGAGGAGGTGCTGAGATGCAAAGGAGATGAGGGATGCTGCTGCGAAGGATGCGAGGACTGGGAAGGATGGCAGCGATTGCCACAGGGAGAAGTTGGACGTTGTCTGGGGGGAGGGAGACAAGGAGGGAGGGATGGGGGGAGGAAAGGAGGAGAGAGGGGATTATTTTTTAGGAGACTAAAAAGGAGGCTGCTGCGAAGGATGCAAGCACTGGGAGGCAGGGCAGCGAGTGCCACAGAGAGAAGTTGGGCGTTGCCTGGGAGGGGGGGGGGAGAGGGAGGGAGGAGGGGAGGGGGGGAGGGAGGTGGGGAGGGAGAGAGAGGACAAGATGGGGTGATATATACTACGTTAGATGGTCTGACCAAACATATAACAGAACTAGCAGTCTGACCAGTGGGATGCATCGAGAAATACAACTCAACTGTCGATCTTCCGCTAAATGATTCTTTCTAAACTGCAGAGCGCCCAGGGCAATCTTCATGGCTTTCCACGCCAGTGGGATGAACAGATACGTTTTGAGACGCCTCCAAACTCGCCAGTTGTGAGATGCTTGCAACATCAAGGTAAAGAAGGCACCTTGAAGTATTGACTGATGAAGGTGGCGGAATATGCGATCCTCATTGCCATGTCTGCGACGGGTAACACACACAACACGGGAAGCGCAACACGAGAATGCGTCTTGCCTTCTCACAAGAAAAAATAACAAAGAACAAGAAAGGAGAAAAGCAAGCAAGAAAGAAAGAAAGAACAAGAGAAAACAAGAAGTTGACGCACGGAGGGGAGAAGGGGGAGGGAGGGGGGAAGGAGGGGAGGGGAAGACGGAGGAGGGGAGGGGAAGAAAGCCCACGCACTGCAGCAGTTGGCGAGGATGAGTCCGGGGGAAGAAGCCACACGAATGAGCAGAGCGCTGAGCGCCATGTGCAGCAGCGAGAAGAGCAGCAGCCACCCGTTCGACTGCGCCAGCTGCCTCTCACTCAGCACCGCGTGCACGAACGCCTCCGTGGTGCCTGGTGACGGAATGCGAGAGTAGAGGGAGGGGGTAGGGGGGAAAGAAGGGGTTCTGGGTCAACGGCCCGTACTGGACTGCGCTAGCTGCCTCTCACTCAGCACCGCGTGCACGAACGCCTCTGTGGTGCCTGCACGGAATGGGTGCAGTGGTGTTATGATGGGTTGAGAACTTGGGCGGTGGCTCACACTGCCTCAGCTGCCTCTCACTCAGGACAGTGTGCACTAACGCATCTGTGATGCCTGGTGATGGAATGGGGACAACAATGGAGGAGGGGATGAGCGGATGCGGGAAATGGTGAATTAGAGAACTCTGAGGCTCGTATTGGACTGAGCTAGCTGCCTCTCACTCAGCACCAAGTGCGCAAACGCCTGCATGGAAGGCAGGGAGGAGTGGGGAACGGGGGGGTTAGAGGGGCCGGGGAGAGTCGAGGTTCAGAGAGGGAGGGGTGGTGTGGATTTGGCCCAAGAGTGCGAGCACCATGATGTAGGGGCAACTTTTGAGGCGCCTCAAAAGATTTGGCCCAGGAGCGCGAGCACCATGATGTAGGGGGCAGTAGCAGGCGAGTGAGAGTGGCTCTCTGATTTTCCTTCCGTGCTCCCTTTTCCCATCCCGTTCCTCCTCCCCCCTCCCCTCTTCTTCTCACCGGTGAGGGTGAAGCGCCATAATGAAGGGGCAGTGGCAGGCGAGGGAGAGCAAAACAGAGGTCTCTTCTGACTCAGTCCTAGTGTCCGCCTTTCCAAATCCTCCCCACCTCTTCCTTTGAGCCCATTCAATCCTTCCTCTCACCGGTGAGTGCTTGGCATGATGTAGGGGCAGTGGCAGGCGAGGGAAAGCGGTGGAGTGCGGGGAGTCATCTGCCTTCTCATTCTATAGAGCTCTGCTGCACGTCCGTCCCCTTCCACCCCTCTCACCGTTGAGAGCGAGTGCCATGATGTAAGGGCAGTAGCAGGCGAGGGAGAGTGAGAAGCCTTTCTCTCACTCATTCCAAATCTCTGCCTTTCCTATTTTCCCCTCACTCATCAGCCCATCCATGCCCACCTCCTCCTCTCACCGTTGAGTGCGAATGCCATGGTGTCGGGGCAGTAGCAGGCGAGGGAGAGCAGGGGAGAGAGCATGAGAGAGCACAGGAGGGAGCGCACAGGAGTGCGGCGAAGGGATGCGTCTCACTCGTTCTAGAGAGCTCTGCCCCTCCTCTCACCGTTGAGAGCAAGGGCCATGATGTAGGGGCAGTAGCAGGCGAGTGAGAGTGAGAAGCCTTTCTCTCATTCATTCCAAATCTCTGCCTTTCCTATTTTCCCCTCACCCATCAGCCCATCCATGCACACCACCTCCTCTCACCGTTGAGAGCAAGGGCCATGATGTAGGGGCAGTAGCAGGCGAGTGAGAGTGGTGCCTCGGTGGCGGTCCAGGTGGGGCCGTAGAGCAGCGAGAGCAGCGAGTAGGAGAAGGGCGGCCCGAACGCCACGAATATGAGACCTGCAGAGGGAGGGGGAAGCGGGGGAGGGGGAAGCGGGGGAGGGGGAAAAGGTTGAGAATGAAAGCGAGAGCAGCGAGTAAGAGAAGGGCGGCCCGAAAGACAGGAATATGAGACCTGAGGAGGGGGAGGAGCAGGGGGGAGGAGGGGGGTGGGAGGGGGAGGAGAGGAGATGCGATGTGATGGCAGGTGACAGTGGGAGCGAGAGCAGAGAGAAGGATAAAATCAGACTGAAAGGCAGACTAAACACCACGCACACGAAACCTTCTTGCTAGACGAGCAGTGGAAGCAGATAGTCGGAAATCAGGAGGCGAACAATAGGCAAAGGCATCTTAACACCCTGTTCGCCTCCTAATGCTCCACTATCTCCATCCTCTGCTCGTCTAATGATGCACGTACGCACGCACACAGTCAGACTCTGAGAACAGGGCAGACACGTAGTGATGGACAATGGCTTGCAGATACAGACTGGGTTACCCTTGGCCTTGGTACACGAGGTAAAATACAACCTTACCCTGGTCACTGCCTTGCCATTACATGCGACTTTAGAGTCGACTGGTTAGTCAAGCCAACCCAGCTAACCTAGCGCGTTCACAGGCTTCACTGCCAGTAGCAGCACTCTGGCCACTGACTTCTTCCCAGCCTTGGAATTACGGGTGAATCTAGAGCCAAGCCAAAAGTCAACCCAACCCAGCTCACCTAGCACGTTCACAGCCTTCACTGCCAGTAGCAGCGCCACCGACTCTTGCCCCACCCTTGCATTGCTGCCTAGCAAAGGGGGGTCTGTTTTTTATGCGCCTAAGAAATCAGTCGATTTCAACGGTCAACCCAAGCCAGCTCACCTAACACGTTCACAGCCTTCACTGCCAGCAGCAGCACTCTGGCTACTGATTCCCGCCCCGCCATTGCATTACTGCCTGAGAGGGGGGAGCATGGGGAGCAATCGGGGGAGAGAGGGGGAAAAGGAGGAGGGGAGCGGGGGTGGATTGGGGGAGGTGGCAGGGAGTGAAAGCAGGGTGGGGAAAAGGTAAAGGAGCAATAGCAAAAGGAGAAGGCTTCAAGAGGCGTGGGGGAAGGGTAAGTGGAAGGGGGAGTGGAGTTGGGGAGGAGTGGGAATGGAGTAGCTGGGGAGCAGGGCGGAGCTGCAAAGGAGTGGGTGAGAGGAGGCGATGCTTCCCATCCCATCCCATCTCATCATCCTTGCAAATCAGACAGTTCTCTCCTCACACAACCCCTGCACTTTTCCTCCTCACCTTCCTTCCCGGCAGTGTCAGCAGCATGAGCGGTGTGAGACGCGGAGGCAAGGGAGGGAGCAGTGCGGGCGAATATGATGAACGCACTCTCCTCGAATGGCTGCAGGACAGACCGCACCACGAGACTGCCTGCCATCGCGTGGCGTGGTGTGGCGTGGTGTGGTGTGGTGTGGTGTCGCATGGTGATGCATTGCAATGGGTGAGAAAAAACAGTTATGGATGGGCATGGCATGGCATGGCACGGAATGGCATGAAAATGGGTGGAGAAAGGAAGAGCAAACAAAGTGTCTTGTGAAACTGAATCCCGTGAATAAGTGGCATGACGTGGCATGACATAGCATGACATAGCATGGCATGGCATGGCATGGCATGGCATGGCATGGCATGGTATGGCACGGCATGTACTGGTTTGCTCTTTCACTTTACTCATCCTTACACATACAACGAACACCCACTAGCCATGCACCCAGCTTCACCACAAGCCCATACACGCCCTGGTTAAACGAGCTCTCCCCATAAGCCATCTCTATACCCACCAAACCACCACCCACTACCCACCACCCACGCATCACCGCCCAGCCACGCACCCAGCTTGACCACGAGCCCATACACACCCTGGTTGTACGCGCTCTCCATGGCCACCAGCACCTCAAAAGCCTTCTCTTCACCCATACAGCACCCACCCACCCACTGCCACCACCACCACCACTACTACCAGCACCATCACCAGCAGCACCACCAGCACAACCATCAACACACCCAGCTTGACCGCGAGTCCATACACGCCCTGGTTGTACGCACTCTCCATGGCCACCAGAACCATCTCGTCGCCCTTCCCCAGCACCTGCTTCACCGCTGCCTAGCCCATACACGCCCTGGTTCTACACACTCTCGAGAGCCACCTTCTGAGGCACTCCAAAGGCCTTCTCTTCACCCATACAACGCCCTCACAAACGCCAGCACAACCATCAACGCACCCAGCTTGACCACGAGTCCATACACGCCCTGGTTGTACGCGCTCTCCATGCATTTCTGTACCAATACAACACCCACCCACCCAACCAACCCCAAGCAGCAACGCACCCAGCTTGACCACGAGCCCGCACACGCCCTGGTTGTACGCGCTCTCCATGCATTTCTGTACCAATACAACACCCACCCACCCAACCAACCCCAAGCAGCAACGCACCCAGCTTGACCACGAGCCCGTACACGCCCTGGTTGTACGCGCTCTCCATGGCCACCAGCACCATCTCATCGCCCTTCCCCAGCACCTGCTTCACCAATGCCTGCAGCGAGAACGCACCACACAGCCGCAGCAGCGGCCAGTGCAGCAGCGGGCGGCCTGGGAGCCTGGGAGGTGCGGAGGTGGGGGGTTTGGGAGGTGTAGAGTTGGGGGAGTCAGGGAGTTAAGGGGTATGGGGGAAGGGGGAATGTCAGCACAAGTGGGGGTGTGGGGGGTGGCAAGAATTCTCATGAATCACTCACATAGGACGTGGGGAGCGATGAAGGGCATGGGGAAAGGCACTAGATGGCATGGGAAGTAACGGAATTATTCAATTATGGCACTAGACCCTTCACCAGGACTGGCTTTTTCTCCCCTTCCCCCCCCCCCAATCCCCTCCTCCCTCCCTTCCCTGTCTCTATTTGAAGCTCCTCAGAAACCATCCTGCGTCTCCAGAAACTCACTTGCACGGGAGCAGAGGAATCATGGCACCAGACCCTTCACTAGCACTACCTCCCGCCTCATTCTCTCCTCCTTGCCTTTCCTGCAACTCCCCCCCATCACCTCCCTCCTTTCCCTCCCTCCCAATTGCTCGCCTCCTAAGCCCTCCCTCTCCCTCTCCTCCCCCTTCTCCTTTCCCTTCTCCCTCTCCTCCTTCCCCCTCCTGCTTCTTGCTGCCTTCTGCCACATCTCTCTCCTCCTCTCCGCTCTGACTGGGCCTCAGAGCTCGAGCGGAGGGGTGGAGAAGGAAGAACCCCCAGTAGCCGATGACAAGGGAGGAGCTAAAGGCCAGCTCTGCATAGGCGAACACAAGCCCTCCCGTCTGCAGAAGAAGAAGGAGAATGAAGGGAAGGTGCAGGAAAGGAGGAATTCAGTGTTACAAGGAACGGATAGGCTAACAGCCAGCTCCATCCATACAGGTACCGGCCAGCCCTCCCATCCAGCCAATCGGCCTGCTTTTTGAGTCAACTCAAAGAACGGAAAGGCTAACGGCCAGCTCCATACAGGTACACACCAGCACTCCCATCCAGCCAATCGGCTCGCCTATCCCCCCCTACCCCTACCACTAGCCCCTGCCAATCAACACTCACCCTGCCAATCCCCCCCAGCACCAGCAGCAGCGTCACCACACACCGCACCACCGTTGCAACGGCGTCCAGCACCGCTCTCAACCGCACCAGCAGCAGCGCCTGGGACAGGATATACAGCGGCTCTGATACCAACTCCACTGCTGCTGCCACCCCGTGGAGTAAAATGGCTTGGGCGTAGGGGTCTGAGAGAGGGAGGTGCTGGTAATGCAGGACGAAGGCACAGGCTGCTGCTGCTAGGGAGATGCCTGTGGGGACGACCAGCCACGCTGCTGACACCATCCGCGCCCAGTAGAGGGGGGAGGCGGGGGAGGAGGCGGAGGAGGAGGAAGGGGAGTTGCTGGTGGAGGGGGGTAAGGGGGAAGGGGTTGGGTGGAAAGAAAGAAAGGAAGAAGGGGAATAAGAGGCCAAGACACGGAAAGGGGGGGTGTGGGGGAGGGAAGAGAAACGGAAGAGGCAACGGAGAGCAACGCCAAGAAGAGAAGAGAAGAGAAGAAATAACCAATTAATAAGAGACAAGGAGAGGAGAGAAGAGTAGGGAGGAGGAGAGAGGAGGAGAGACGAGTGCAAGCAGAGTAGGGAACACAAGGAGCAGTCAGCTCACTCATTAACTGTGCTCATTAGCTCATTGTTTGAGTCAATTCGACTCAGAACTCACCCGTCAGCTCGTAGGCAGCCTCTGCGGAAGCCCTCTCTGCTGACAAAGAGAATGGTGGATGTGAGCAGCTGGAACTGCACCGCTGCCATCTGAAAAAAAGGAGGTGAGGGGGAGCGGTGAAGGGAGGGGAAAGGAGAGCCCGTCTCAACAATGGAAGGGAATGGTGGATGTGAGCAGCTGGAACTGCACCGCTTCCATCAGAAAAAGAGGAGGTGAAAGGGGGGTGGGGGGTGTGATTGGGCAGCAGAGGTCTGAATAGCAGGAGCTGTGAAAAAAAAAAAAAAAAAAAAACCTGTGGTCAAAATAGCAGCAATGGTCTGGTCAGACGAGAAGAGCAGCAGGCAGGCGTACCCCAAACTCCTGTGGCGAGAGGCGTCTGGCGATGACAAGATTCATGAGGAATGTTACCACTCTCGACGACACCTGCGACACTGTTGCATAAGGGGGGGGCGGGGGGTGGGTGCAGGGAAAGGGAGGGTGAACAGGAAGGTAAGGTGACGGGGAAGTGGAGGGTGAAGGGCAAAAGGAGAGTGAAGCAGGGGAGGAAAGGAGGACGCAACGCACAGAACCAGCGCAATTTACTAAAAAATGAAAAGAAAGAACAAAAAAGAATATGGCGGAGAAAGAAGTCGAACGATGATTTGGCTGAGATGGATCGGTGGCAGCTAGGCCAATAATCAGAATTTAGTGACCTCTGCGCTGCCTTTACGCTGAAAGCACTAAGCTACTGTGTTCGCAAGGCGCCTTCGCCATCCTCTCATAACCGCACTAGACTCATCAGCACCACGGAAGTATTCATGAGAGGAACTCAACCCAGCAGAACCGCACTCAACTCATTAGCTGAATAAAACCGCTCGCGAGCATACGGCCTTCTGTAGACCCGGCCGTAGCACCATCATTAGCAGCCGCGCCTCCCATCTTTCCGCCGACTTTCCTCCCGAAATTCCCTGCCTTGCGCCGAAAACGGAACCGACAGCAGCAGCAGCAACAGTGAATGGAAGGATGGAGATAGATAGTAGCAGCGGTGGTACTAAGGCGATACTCTTGTTCACTGGCTTTCTATACTATCGGTTCTTCACAAGTCTATCGTGTTGAGGTTATGTTATGAGAGACCGAGGCGTAACAGGACGTAGCGCGGGTCCGAAGGTGCGAGCTTGCTTGCTTGCTCGAATCAGAGATGGTTCAATGCGCGCAGGAAGACGGGATCGCGTTTTATGTCGTATGCAGAGCAGAACGTCCCAACGCAGCACGTCGCACGGAGCACATCCCGCGGACGCGTGCTAATGGTGTCGCTTCATGCTGGCGTTGTTTCCTCCTGCTCATGCGCTCTTGATGTAGTTGAAGTGGAATCAGGCAGACGTGAACTTAGGGCGTGATGCTTTTGGCACAAGTCCCTAAGTTTGATTTTTTCAATCGATTTTAACCCTTTTTTAAGTTCGATTATGAGAATTCGAGTCGCGGGGCCAATTTCTGCTAAGTCAAAAGGTGACCATCGAGGGTCGAAAACGAGATTCGACCTTCTCCGAGTCGCGATGACAAATGTAGGTTACCCGATATAGTCTACGCGTCTCTGGCGTAGTCGTCGAGATACTCATCGTCGATGTCGTCATGATTCGTCAAGTTCGTGAAGCTGCTGAATATACGCAGAAATGACCACGTTCGAAACCACGCTTCGAATCCAAGTTCGAACATGCGTTCGACTGACTGTGTGGTTACTTGACTTACCAGGTCAATAATCGAACGCAGACCTGGCTCCATGCGACATTCACGAAGCCAGTAACCAGCTCAAGCTCGACCAGTTTTCTGAGGACGCGTCACAATTGCAACACCGGGGGAGATCGGCACCAAACACCGAGAATGTGACTTGCGAAAAACTTGTTTCAATCTGCAGGAGCAGTTTTGGCTGCTTCCCCGAGCCAAGTGGGACGACATCGGGTTTGCAACTGTACACCCAGCTGCTAGCGCAGGAGCCGTGCGAGTCGCACAGCTTCGCATGGCTTGTGACGAGCTAGAAATAGCAAGCTGCTTGCCCAATTGATGGCGACAACGCTGGGTACGAAGTTACCACAATGAAAGTTTCCGACAGTATGCAACGGCGATCGATCGTGGCTGGAACTGGTGGCGTGATTTCGATTCCCGCGCTGTCAAATCGCACGATCGATGTGGCAGTTTGAGCTATCCGACCTTGACAATCTGCGGGTACACGATTGCCGCAACTGGATAAACGAAAACGGGATACATGGCTTCCGCGAAATGCCGAAGTCACTGTAGATTGTGCACACCGATATTTCACAGGTTCGGTGTTGCAATTGTGACGCGTCCTGAACTTTGAATCGAAAGCACCGCGCCCTTGAATTTGGAAATCTCTAGGCAGGAGTGGAAGCAGGATGCGAAGACCGGGGGACTCGCTACAATTTTTTTGAGCTATACCTTGATTGTCCATATAGTTTTGCGTGTTTTCCAACTATGACACTTGCTCCAAAGAAGGAACAGAATTTGCACACTTGTGCACCACTTGCTTTCGAGTCACTGCTGCTCTCCTTGTGCTCCAGGTAGTGCAAACTGCGAATATCTCAGCATCAGAAGAAGCTTACAAGTATCTAAATTTGGAGTAGCATGGCACTACAGTATCACATGTAATCCACAGCATCTATGACTAAGGGCCTCCTAACCTAGTGTCAGAGCCTCGTGTCAGGAGGGATCTTCACCTGGCCTTGTAATAAGGCAATCACACTGCTGCAAAAGACACGTCCTGACACAAGACTCTGACACGAGGTAGGGGCATCCATTTCGAGGGTAGCTGCGGTGTACACTTGGGGTACGGTAGCTGCGCCAAAAAGCAAGCAGCATGGCACCCAATAACCCTTAGAGTATCAACCCTTTAAAAACCCTTGGGCCGGAAAAACGCGGACAAGCCATGCGCCTTGAGGAACTTGCCCGTGTAGAGATCAGCAGTCACCACAACCCCCTGCTTCGCAACAGGTGCACTCTGAGGGCCCAGCACGATTTTCCCGGCATTCGCGCCGGTGGACGCGTACCGCACCAACATATCCTTGGCCTTAGTCTTAAGCAGCGTGTTCGTAGCGAGCTTCCGCAGCTGCGCGCCCGTGTATTGTCGCAGCAGGACGTTGTATTTCCCGATGGCCTCCATTGCTGTATTGTTCTTTAGGGTTGGAATGCCGAGGCTCATTATGGCTTTGTTGGTGGGGATGAGTAGCGTGGTGTTGAAGATCTGAGGCAGCAATGAGTCGGGGTATTTGACTGTATTGTGGGGGGAGGGGAAAGGGGAAGAAGGGGGGATAGGCGGATGGGTTGGGAGGGAGAAAGAGACGGTGAGCCGCAAGGCAATGGACGTGAGATGGTCGGTGCGGCAAATGGAACGAAAGGAAGAGAACGAATAGGCGTTTGGAAACGATGTAACGCAATCCGTCGTGAAGGAAGACCGAGAATAAAACAGCGACCGTGCTTCGTTGCAAACTCGCATCTTAAAGCATCGACGAGCATCTTAGTGTGTTTTTTACAATATTTGTGCGTGTAGTCGGGCTAAGTTGTGCAGTTGATGCCACTTCAGCATCCATCCGAATGTGCTCGTCGGGCAAACGTGTGACTTAAGGACACCGCTCTTCTCGCATGCATGAATCAAAGTACTCACGCATTCTGTCGATGCCTCTCACGAACGCCGAGTAGTTCTTCTGCTGCTTTACCACCGCCCTCAGCGCCGTGAGTTCTTTTCGGAATTGCGCCACCGTCGGCGCTGCGTCCGCGCAGACAGCCAGCAGCAGCAGAGCCGCGAGTAGAGAGAAAGTGTGTGAGCGTGAAAACGCCATGGCCTCGATGAGACTTGCTCCACGGTAAGCAGTTCGCGGCTAATATGAAAACTCCGAGCTTTAGTAACTGGGGACGGGCGGGGTGTCCTGCAGATAGCTTAAACTGGATATAACTGTACTTATGCGTTCTGATCGGGGAAACTATTTACCTGGACACCACAAAGAGAGAAGAATTAGTTCGAACTCAGATGAGTCACCTAACTAAGTATTGTGGGCTTCTTATAGACTGGGTCTGGCTTCCACGAAACAGGTGACACTGACGGTGTTTGGTTCGGTGGTGCCGTCAAACGGGTGGTGGTCGTCCCTGTAACGTGTGCGTACCTTGTTGTTGGCTAGCGTGGTGTGTGCGACTGTTGTCTGGGAAATTGGGTTTGGGTTCTGTTAGGTTCGGTGTGGGAAGGGTGGTTCGTGCGGCGTGCGATGGACACAGAACGAGACGGATGGTCAGGAGTTGACGGACGGAACGCCAGTCGGAACGTAACAGCGCGAAACGCCTGGCGGCTCCGTGTGTTCTGATTCCGTGGCATTGGGCGAAGGACAAATCTCCGTGTCCCAGATTGGGGGCGGTTCGATTCTCCGACGAGCCGTAGCTCGACGTGTTTTGGAATTTGTGGCTAGGAATGCTGGACCAATGACGCGATCTCACGTCGGCCTACGATAGACTCTTGTAAACTCCCTGCCGCCGACACCCATGTGTTCAGTACTGTAACATTGCGCCGACAAACCGCCATCAAAGCGTCAATGCTGACGTCGTTCGTTTTCCTGCATTGAAACTTCGACCAGGCGGAATGCCGAGAGCAATTTCACTACTTGAACCGATACAATCCTCCATATCTTTTTTAGAATGCTGTTACGGCTGCAATGAATCTAGGTAGCGAGGTTAAGGTAAAGGAGGGGGGAGAGCCCCCTTTGGGTTACCCCCGGCTGTATATCGTAATCCGCCTACCCACTTGTTTACACGCCACGCTGGGTATCGAGGTAAAGGAGTACAAAATGTGAGCGATGGCTTGAGCGAACATTTATACGCGAAACATGCAAACGGTAACGCGGTGTGTGCGAACTAGCTAGTGCTAGGCTGGCAACGAGGCTCGGGCTAGTCCCGAAGCGTAGGCCGACACGGCCGGGCCAGCGGTGCATGGTTTGGTGAAACAGTGCGCGTGAAGTTGGCGAAGCCCCGTTAGTAGCAACGAGCGAATAACGGTTGCTGCCATACGCGATGTTGCATGGTGCGCTAAGGAATGTCGAGAAAATTCCATATAAATGCCTGCTTTTATATGAATTTCAAACGTCTCTTATCCCATTAGGTGCACAAAAAGAATGCCGAACATGAGAGAAAACAGAATTAGAGGTTACATACGCTGATATATGTTGGGCTGAAATGCCCTAGGATCTTTGTAGAGTTTAAGTCTGAGTAGAATTGTAGTAGCGGAAGCGTTTGAATGAAAGTACTTGAACCACCTTGCGCTAGTATGTGAGGGCAAAGTAAGTTAATTAAACAAGCAAATACAAAGGTTTATATATGAGTACAAGGAATACGAATAGATAAGTTAAAACCGTTTTACTGTTGCGATTCGCTACTGCGACTCGGGCAACTGCTCAATGTCGAGTCAGTTGTGTGTCCTTGCTGTGGCGCTGTATTTGTCAAGTCAAAGGTCGCTGACCTTTTACCTTCTCGTAACCTCCAGGCGGTTACCCTAACCTCCGAGGGTTGACTCGCGATGCTTCGATTCGGACTGCTTCGCTAGTGTCCTGAGTTTCGACACGACAGAGGCGCTTAAGACTTATTATTCCCAACACTCCCCTTCGCTTCTGGAGTGTCGCTAATGGTGACGTGGCCTTGTCCGGTCAGCATCATGCAGTACTCGAACTTCTGCTTTCCGAGTTTCTTGGTCAAATAATCGGCTGCCATCTCGGACGTGGAACAGTAGGATAATTAGAGTTTCCCTTTCTCGATCTCGTCCTTCACGAAGAAGTATCGCAGAGCGATATGCTTCGTTCTGTTCGCGAATCCGCTTTTCTTGGCGATGCGAATTGCAGATTGGTTGTCGCAGGATAGGGTGAAGTTGGGTAACTCGGCTAACCTTGCTTCTTCCAGCAGCTCGCGAAGGTAGAGTCCTTCCTTGGTGGCTGAACAGAGGGCGATATATTCTGCTTCAGCTGAAGAGAGAGCGATTAGTTCCTGCTTACTCGACTGCCAGGAGATAGGTCCGATAGGCTCGAGACGATAGACGTAGCCACTGCGAGAGCGTCTGTTATCAGAATCGCCGGCATGGTCAGCATCGACGTAGCCGATTAGTTTCGTCGTCGGCCGATCGTCGGTGTGCTGACGAAGTAGTGTAGTGCGCGATCGAGCTCCGCCAGATGCTTTGCTTCGGATTTCTTGAGATAGGTGGCGAGTTGGCTTGCGGAGTAGGATAGATCCGGGCGACAGGTGACAGCTGCGAAGAGAAGGCAGCCCAGTTTCCTTTGGTAGTCTCGTATTCCGGCAGCTTTGAGTGGAGCGGAATTTCCCTTGTCGTTTCCTGCCGTGTAGCGGTATGGTGTGGCGATGGCGGTAGGTGTGAGTGAAAAACGTTAGGCGATGGTGTCGGCGTATTTCTCGGCGCTTAGGTAGATCGCATTTTCTTCTTCGCGGATGTTGAGCCCGAGGTACTGGGTCACGGTAGAAGAGACCGTGAGCATGAGGTCTTTGTGCAGCTCCCCTTCGAACCAGGTGGTGACGTCGTCGGTGGAGCCGATGTAGAGCAAGTCGTCGACATAGACGATCAGTAGGATGTAGTCTGCGCCTTTGGTGAGGCGGTACATTCCTTGGTCGTGAGGCAGTTGGTGGAATCCGATGCGAGTGAGACGGGTGTGTAGGTGCTGTTGCCACAGTCGTGGGGCTTGTTTGATTCCGTAGAGCGATTTCAGTAGTTGGCAGATCTGATTAGGATTTCCGTGAGTGCCGCGTGGGAGTTCAGCGAAGATTTCGGCGTCGACGGGTGCGTAGAGGAATGCGTTGGCAACGTCGATTTGTCGCAGCTTCTTCTTCTTCATGGCGGCGACGGCGAGAAGGATTCGGAGAGAAGTATGTCGACTGACTGGGGCGAATGTTTCGGTGAAGTCTCGTCCTTGCTCCTGGTCGAATCCACGCACGACCCAGCGTGCTTTGAACTTCTCGATTGTGCCGTCAGCTTTTGTCTTGATGCGGAAGACCCATTTCCCGGTGAGAATGGTCTTGTTCCGTGCCACGCTTGCGGGAACGACCTTCCTGGTGTTGCGTTCCTCTAATGCTTTTAATTCCCTGTCCATGGCTTCACGCCATTTCTCCCTGTGTTCCCCCCCCAGAGCCTGCTGAACCGTCGTAGGCTCTTTAGGGAGCGTGCTGCCTGTGTTCCCGTGGACTGCGGTGACGAGACCAAGGATTTGCAGCCCAGTCTGTGAGTATCGGGGGAGTGTTGTATCCTCTGGATAAGCTGCTTCGTCTCCTGCTTCTGGATCGGGTATGAAATTTGGCCCTATCCTTTCTGCTTCATTTGTGTTGACTGTCGCAGGTGTTACGTAACCGTTGTCGGCGAAGTGATAGAAGACTTCGGCGTTGTTACTGTCGCGAGGATTTTCTTCGTCCATGGGCACGTCGACGGAGCAGTACGGGAGAGGTCCGACTTCTTCCGATGCGTTGTCGACGTTCTGTTCATCCCAGTCTGCTTCGTCCGCTGCTGAGGCGAAGGCTCGGTCACCACGAAAGCCACCTGTGAGGTCCCGATTCTCGTGCAAGTTGGCGAGGTACGTCTGAAGGGTGAGTCGCATCACATCACGTAGAAGATCACATCACGTGCTGCTACTGTTTCCTTTGTGTATCGAAGATTTTCCACGCGTTGTAATTTTTCTCGATGCCGAGGTGTAGTCCCCACTGTGCCCGTTGTGAAAATCTTCCCGCTCGTGCTTCTGGGGGTCTGTACTTTACCATGCATCCGAAAACTCATAACATTTTTGTGCTGCCCAGCTTCCCTGTCCACAGCAGATGCGGTGATGCGTTGTTCGGGAGTGACGACGACGACAACAAGTTGTGCAGCATGACAGCGTGGTCCATTGCTGCAGGCCACTGGTGGTTGGGTAGCCGCATGCCACGTAGCAGTTTGCGCATGCTGTTTTGCAGAGTCCTGTTCATTCTTTCTGCTACTCCTCGCTGCTGATGTGCGTAGGGAAGGGAGAGGAGTTGCTTGATCCCTCTTTCCGCCAGGTACTGCTTGAAGCGCTGAGAGGTGTACTCTCCTCCTCCGTCTGACTGGAACCTTTTCAGTTGTGTTCCTGATTCCCTCTCTGCTACCGGTAGCCAAGCGGCGAATGCTGCGAGTGCCATGTCGCGGCTGGGTAGGTTGCGATGCCAGACGTATCGAGTGGCGGCGTCGATGAAGGTGATCGTGTAATTGTAGGTGACTTGTCCTGGTTCTCGATTGTAGAGGATGTCGCTGTAAACTTTCTCGAGTGGTGCGTATGCAGGTGCGCTCGGGTTGTGGTGAGAGGAAAACGGTCGATGGGGTAAGTCGGCTTCGGGGCAGATGAGGCAAGTCCCTCGTGCACGTTGAAGCTCTCTGCCGTCGAGTAGTAGTAGCGAATCCTTGTCTAGAACTCCTGCTCGTATCGTGTTCTTTAACACCGTATTGCTTGGATGTCCTGTGCGTGCGTGCCAGATGGCTTCAGGAGCGCGATGTCCGGGTGAGCGTTGATACGCGTCAGAGTTGGAGTAGAAGTTGGCGACGATGTTTGAGCTTCGGTGGACTTCTCGTTGAGTCGCGTTCAGCTGTTGTGCGGGTGTTGGTGGTGTTTCGATGACTGGTGTCGTTGGTCCTGCTGCTTTTGATGATGGTTCTGCTGCTGCCGGTTATGGTTCTGCTGCTGCCGATGTTGTCTCTGCTGCTGTCGATGTTGTCTCTGCTGCTGTCGTTTGTTGAATCGTTGCTAATGCTCATGTTTGTTCTGCTTCAGGGATGGTGTGCGAGTACCAGAAACCTCCTGGGCTGAAGTCGGGATCGAGATCCGGAGGATGAGTCCAGTCGATGAAGTTGACGATGGCGTCGCTGTCTGCAGTGCCCAGGACGGGGACGAAATCGAGGACGAAGACGTTATTCTTCAACACTGCTTTTCCGATGTAGAGGCCGCCCTTCCCGTGGTATAACTTAAACTCCTGGGTGGTGCTGTCGGCTTCCAAGTGGATGCCTTTCGCCATCAACTGGCTGACACTCAGTAAGTTGTAGCCTAGTCCCTCCGCGATAAGTACCTTTTGACATGTGTAATATGACATTTGTTTCTCGTGACTGAAGCTGTACCGCTCCTTGTCGTCGTGTGCGCAGGTTCTGATTGTTGGCGACCGTGATGACTACTTCTCGCTGGAGTCGATGTTCGCGTTGAACGAAGCGCCCGGAGGAGCACATGTGTTGTCCGCAGCAACTATCCAAGAACCAAGTGTCTTGGCCAGATGGTTCGCTTTGAGCGATGGCGGCGTACGTCGGATTCGGCTGGAGTGATTCACGGCGAGGCGTCCTGTTGTCGAGCTCTTCTTCCGGTGAGTAGTGGGGTGGTGACTTGGTTGTGCACAAATCGGTTATATTCACCATGCAATTGACGATGCTTCTTGTTCCTTGTGCAGGTTGTCCAGTTGAAGTCGTTGAAGCTTGGATTGTTGTCGTCGGACTTGCTTGCGTTGAAGCAACTTGGGAGCTTGAAGGCCGGAGTTGTCGCTGTGGTGTTGTCTGACGAGACGGGCAGTGCGTGCGAGGATGGCCCGAAGTCTTGTGTCATAACATATCTATAGCTTATACTATTGTGTAGGCTGTAGTGGGGTATCCCATAGGGGGTACAACACAGTTAGGGTTTCATATTTGTACTGCCTTAATTCATAGTCCACACATTCCTGTTCTACGATTCTCACATGGTATAGAGCGGGTTCCCTGTGGGAACTTCGCCTAGGGCCCACCGAAGCGCGCCCCGAGGCGCGCTAACTTTTTTTTCCTCTCGCTCGAGCGGCCCTCCGTGTCGCCCTTCCCTCGCGGCCCTGCCGCCCCTTCGGACGCGGCCCCGCCGCTATTTTGATCGCGGCCGCGTCGCCTGCTCAGACGCGGCCCCGCCTCCTGCTCAGCCGCGGCCCCGCCGCCCGCTACGATGCGGCCCCGCCGCCCGCTACGACGCGGCCCCGCCGCCTGCTCAGCCGCGGCCCCGCCGCCTGCTCAGACGCGGCCCCGCCGCCCGCTCAGACGCGGCCCCGCCGCCCGCTCAGAAGCGGCCCCGCCGCCTGCTCAGCCGCGGCCCCGCCGCCCGCTACGACGTGGCCCCGCCGCCCGCTACGACGCGGCTCCGCCGCCTGCTCAACCGCGGCCCCGCCGCCCGCTCAGACGCGGCCCCGCCGTCCCCTCTGCCGGCCCCGCTGCTGCACCCGACGGCCCCTCCGCCGTCCCTTTCTGACGGCCACGCCGTCCCCTTCAACCGACTCCGCCGCTGCGCCCGACGCCCCCCCCCCCGTCCCTTCTGCCGGCCCCGCCGCTGCTTCAACCGGCCCCGCCGCTACCCCTACCGGCCCCGCTGCTGCACTTGTCGGCCCCGCCGCCCCAGCAGCCGAGCCGCAATAGCAGCCGAGCCGCCCCAGTAGCCGAGCCGCCCCTGCAGCCGAGCCGCCCCAGCAGCCGAGCCGCCCCAGCAGCCGTGCCGCCCGAGCCGCCCGAGCAGCCGAGCCGCCCCAGCAGCCGTGCCGCCCGAGCCGCCCGAGCCGCCGAGTCGCCCGAGCCGCCCAGCAGCCGCGCCGCCGAGCCGCCCGAACCGCCCGAGCCGCCCGAGCCCTCCCTGCACTGCCCTGTCTGGTGAGCACTGAGCTTTACTCTGCGCACCGCCCTCTCTCTACTGTTGTCATGGCTACCCCCAGTGTCCTCACCTTTGACGCTGAGGGCAGAGCCATCGACTTTGACGTATGGGTAGACGACCTACTGCTTTTCCTACAGTGCGACAGAGCTGACGGCCTCTCTCTCTTTGATCTCACTTCTGGTGCCTCTCCCGCCCCTGCTGCTACTGAGGATGCCACTGTTCGCTCACAGTGGGCCACACGCGATGCTGCTGCACGTCTTGCTGTGCGTCGCCACCTCCCTCCCGCTGAGCGTGCGCACTTTGGGTCGTACAAGAGTGCTCAGGCCTTGTACGACGCCGTTATTGCACGCTACTCCACCCCTGCCACTGCCGCACTGAGCCGCCTCATGCTACCGTACCTCTTTCCCGACCTTGCTGCTTTTGCCACAGTCGCTGACCTCATTACCCACCTGCGCACCAGTACGCACGCTTCAGCGCTGCACTTCCTGCTGAGTTCTGCGCCAAGAACCCCCCCCCCCCCCAAGTACTTCACTCTCTACTACATTGTCACCCGCCTCCCTGACTCCCTTCGCGGAGTCAGGGACGACCTACTCGCAGTCTGCCCCACCACTCTCACTGTCGAGCTCCTCGAGAAGTCCCTCCTAGCAGCCGAGAAGAGCATTCTCGCTGTAGGGGCCTCTCGTGGTGACCCACGCACCCCCATCTTTGAGGGGTGTTCCCCCTCCCCCCTCCTGCCCTCTGTCGCCTCCGCTGCTACGGTCGACCTTGTTGGTTTTGAGTCGGTCGGTGCGGCGTCTGCCCCCAGCGGGAGACGTCGCTCTGGCAAGAGCAAGGGGGGCAGGGGCGGTGGTGGAGGCGGCGGGGGCGGTGGAGGCGGCGGTAGAGGCAGCGGAGGAGGTGAGGGTGGTAGCGGGAGTGGTAGCGGGAGTGGAGGTGTCGGCGGAGGCAGTGGAGGCGGGGGCGGCAGCGGCGGTGGTGGTGGGAGTGGAGGCGGAGGCGGCGGTGGCGGCGGCGACGGTGGGAGTGGCGGTGGCAGCGGAGGTGGTGGCGGCGGCGGCGGAGGAGGCGGCGGAGGTCGTGGCTCGTCGAGGAGGAGTGGCTCCGGTGGTGGTCACCGCCAGCAGCAGCAGCGTGGTCAGGAGACCCTCTCCCCGCAGCAGCTCCGTGAGTGGTACTCTGCACGTCAGCGAGGTGGGGGTGCTGGTCCGTGCACTTACGTCCTGCGCACTGGCGACCGTGCGGGTGAGCACTGTGGTGGTCCACACTCCGCCCAGCGTTGCTTCGGCCGCCTGACTGACGCTTGGCGCCGCCAGTTTCCTGACGCCTCTGAGATCCCTCGCTGGGACCAGCTGTCTAGGGCAGGAGTAGCTATCTTTGATCTTGACTTTGATGCTATTCTTGCTGCCATGTATGCTGTGACTATTAGTGAGGAGGGTGACTGTTACCGGTGTTTCCCGCCCGACCCGGGCATTGGTACTGCGGCTCTAGGTGCTGTTGAGGCTGCTGCTCCAGGTGCTGGTGAGGCTGTTGCTCTAGGTGCCAGTGAGTCTGAGTCCTCAGGTGCTGGTGAGTCTGCTCTCTCAGGTACTGCGTCGGCTCCGCCCTCTCTCACTTTCACTCTTGACTACGGGGCGTATCGCTCCTTCTTTTGAGACCGCACCACACTCACGCCGCTTAGTCGGCCAGTGGCGGTCTCCTTGGCAGACCCCTCTGGGGGTCCTGTTCTGGCTCGCTACTCCACTGTCCTGCCGTGCCCTGCGGTCCCGTTTGGCGCCCTGTCCGGTCTCTACCTCCCCTCGTTCTCTACGAACTTGGTGGCGGGTGCTGACCTACAGGATGCAGGGGTTGACCAGTTCACCCCTGCGCGCCGACGGGTCACCCACTGCACGAACGCGGACACGGGTCGACACCTGACCACGTTCACACGTGGGCCGGGGTCGAGCCTGTACACACTCACTGTTCCGTCTCCTCCTCCTGCGTCTGGTCAGGTAGCTGCGTCGGGTCAGGTGTTTGCTGCAGCGTCCAGGTCTGGTCCTGAGTCTGCCCCCTGCTCGTGTCGCCTCCTGTCCCACGAGACCCTCCTGTGGCACCACAGGATGGGTCACCCCTCCCTGCCTCGTCACCGGGGCATGGTCTCTCGCCTTCTCGTCTCTGGCCTTCCCCGGTCCCTTCCTCCCCTTCCTCCGGGGCCTGGCCCTCCCTGTGTCCCCTGTGTCGAGGGTCGCCTACGGGCTACCCCTCACTCCTCCCCGTTTCCTCCGACGGAGGCCCCGATGCAGACACTTCACATGGACGTGTGGGGCCCAGCCCGCGTCCGTGGACAGGGTCACGAGCGCTACTTCCTGCTGGTGGTTGACGACTACTCGCGTTACACCACAGTCTTCCCCTTGCGCAGCAAGGGTGAGGTCACTGAGGTGTTGATCGACTGGATCCGCGCAGCTCGTCTCCAGCTCAAGCGGAGCTTCGGCTCGGACTTTCCTGTTCTGCGTCTGCACTCGGACAGAGGCGGAGAGTTCTTCTCCGGCCTTCTGCGAGCCTACTGTCGGGCACGAGGCATCCGCCAGACCTTCACGCTTCCGGACTCTCCACAGCAGAATGGGATTGCTGAGCGCCGCATCGGCATTGTCATGGACGTCGCCCGTACGTCCATGGTGCATGCGGCTGCCCCCCATTTTCTGTGGCCGTTTGCGGTTCGGTACGCCGCGCATCAGATCAACCTTCAGCCCAGAGTCTCCCGACCGGAGACCTCCCCAGCTTTGCTGTGGACGGGGAAGGTTGGCGATGCGTCGGCGTTCCGTGTCTGGGGATCTCAAGCGTTTGTCCGCGACTTGTCTACGGACAAGCTGTCCCCTCGTGCTGCTCCCTGTGTCTTCCTTGGCTTCCCCACAGACGCTCCCGGGTGGCAGTTTTACCACCCCTCCTCTCGTCGTGTTCTGTCCTCCCAGGACGTCACGTTCGACGAGTCAGTCCCCTTCTACCGCCTCTTCCCCTACCGCACTCCTTCCCTCCCCCCTCCGTCGGACTTCCTTGTGCCAGTTCCCCCCCCGGTCGACCCCCTCCCCCCTCAGGTTCCTGCCCCCTCAGGTGTGTCCCAGGTAGACGCAGATGACCCGGTCGAGGTTACTGGTGACTCTGGTGCTGCTGCGGGTGCTGAGCCTGGGGGTGCTGACTCTGGGGGTGCTGTGCGCGGGGGGGCCGAGCCTGGAGGTGCTGCAACTGGGGGTGCTGAGCCTGGGGGTGCTGGGCCTGGGGGTGCTATTGCGGAGGGTGCTGAGCCTGGGGGTGCTGAGCCGGGGGGTACGGTGCCTGGAGCTGCTGAGCTAGGGGGTGCTGAGTCTAGGGGTGCTGGGTCGGGAGCTGCTGAGCCTGGGGGTACTGAGTCTGGAGCTGCTGAGCCTGAGGGTGCTGGGTCGGGAGCTGCACAGCCTGGGGTTTCTCCTGCTGCTGCGTCTCGCCGGGAGCCCCTCTCTCCACAAGAGCTGCGCGAGTGGTTTGCTCGCCGCTGGAGGCGTGCTGCTGGAGCTGGAGCTTCTTCGACCGTCGAGGGTGCTGGTGCTGCCGGTCCCGGAGCTGCTGGACCTGCGGGTACTACTGGAGCAGGAGCTCCTGAGGGTGTTGGTGCTGAGACTACTACTGTCTGTCCCGGCGGTGGTTCTGCTGCTGGTGCTGCTGGAGGTCCTGCCGATGGAGGTGTTGGTGGCGCTGGTGCTGTCGCTGAGGGTGCTGGTGCTGTCCCTGCTGAGTCTGGAGCTGCCGCGCGGCCTCGACCGTACTTCGTTCCGCTCCTGCAGCAGTTTCTTGGTCTTTCTCCTCCGGTAGAGTGTTCACAGCTTGTCCAGTCACAGTCACTGTTGGAGCCTTCCTCTCCACTGCCTGCTCCCTCTCCTTACACTGGTCCTACTGGAGGTCTTGCTGAGCGTCGTGAGCCTGCGTCTCGTCTTGCGTCGCCTGCTCGTGCTACTCGCACTAGTGGTCGCGGTTCGCGTCAGCGTCCTCCTCCTGTCCCTGGCACGCACCGGATGTCTCTGCGTCCGTCCACTGCTCCTCTGCGTGCCCCTTTGCCTTCTCCTCCTGAGTCCTCTCTTCCCGCGCTTGCCGACCCTGAGTCGGACTCTCTTCGTGCTGCCAGTGCTACTGTCACGCGTCTGCTTGCTACTGTCGTCACTGACCCCTCTTTTGAGTCCACTGCTGCGTGTGCTCTTGTCGCTGAGCTCGTCGACTTTGCTGCTCGCTGTCGTCTAGACTACGCTGCTGGTCTTGTTGCTGAGTCTGCGTCTGTCTGTCCTACGTCCGTCGGGGGTGAGTGTGCTCTTGGCACGGACGTCCTAGAGGACAGGCAGGAGGAGTTACAGTGTCTGGCTGCTGCTTCACCTCATCTCGCGTCTGTACTGCTTGCTCCTGAGGGAGACCCGGATGCACTAGACATCCCGACTCCGCGCTCTTACGCGGAGGCCGTAGAGGGTCCCTACTCGTCTCAGTGGCAGGCAGCTATGGATGCAGAGATGGCTTCCTGGAAGTCCACAAGCACCTACGTTGACGCAGTTCCCCCTCCTGGGGCGAACATCGTCAGTGGCATGTGGATCTTCAGGGTGAAGCGGCCGCCGGGCTCTCCACCTGTCTTCAAGGCGCGGTACATTGCTCGTGGCTTCAGTCAGCGGCAGGGAGTTGACTACTTTCAGACCTTCTCTCCCACCCCGAAGATGACCACTCTTCGGGTGCTGCTGCACATAGCCGCTCAGCGCGACTACGAGCTTCACTCTCTCGACTTCAGCACTGCGTTCCTGCAGGGTAGCCTACACGAGGAGATCTGGCTGCGCCGTCCACCTGGCTTCACTGGGACTTTCCCACCTGGCACCCAGTGGAGCCTCGACGGCCAGTCTACGGTCTCCGCCAGGCACCGCGTGAGTGGCACGACACACTGAGGACTACGCTTGCGGCTCTTGGGTTTGCTCCTTCTACTGCTGACCCGTCGCTGTTTCTGCACATCGACACTTCTCTGCCGCCGTTCTACATCCTCGTGTACGTCGACGACTTGGTCTTTGCCACAGCGGACACTGCTGGACTCGCCTACGTGAAGTCCGAGCTGCTGAAGAGACACACGTGCACAGACTTGGGTGAACTGCGCAGCTACCTTGGCTTGCGGATCACTCGGGACAGAGCACGCCGCACCATTACCTTGACTCAGTCACACATGGTGCAGCAGGTCCTTCAGCGCTTCGGCTTCACGTACTCCTCGCCTCAGGCCACTCCTGTGTCTACTCGCCACTCGCTCTCAGCTCTGTCTTCGGATGAGTCCGTAGAGTCGAGTGGCCCGTACCTAGAGCTTGTTGGCTGCCTCATGTACCTGATGACCTGCACACGGCCTGACCTTGCATACCCTCTGAGCATTCTTGCACGCTATGTTGCTCCTGGGAGACAGCGACCAGAGCACATGGCTGCAGCGAAGAGGGTATTGCGCTACCTGTGCAGTACGTCAGGCATGGGGCTAATGCTTGGAGGGCGGAGTCCAGTGGTCCTTACAGGGCACGCGGACGCTTCTTGGGCTGACGACCAGGCTACGCAGCGGTCGTCACAGGGTTACACCTTCAGTCTTGGTTCCGGCTCTGTTTCTTGGCGGGCTACTCGTTCGTCTTCGGTTCTCAGCTCCAGTTGTGAGGCTGAGATCTACGCCGGGGCCATGGCTGCACAGGAGCTTCGCTGGCTCACCTACCTGCTGACTGACCTTGGAGAGCCGCCTCGTTCTCCTCCAGTGCTATACGTAGACAACAAGGCCATGCTGGCCTTGTGTCGAGAGCAGCGTCTGGAGCACAGAACGAAGCATATTGCTCTTCGCTACTTCCTTGCTCGTGAGCTACAGCAGCGTGGACATTTGCGGCTTGCGTACGTGGCCTCTGAGGCCAACACTGCTGATGTGTTCACCAAGGCACTCGCGCCTTGTGGCCATCAGCGCTTCTGCACCCAGCTAGGTCTTGTGCCTGTCTTGCCTCACTTGCTCTCCTCTTGACTTTACTTGTACTGTGACATATATATATACCTGCTCTTGCTTGTCTAGTTATATATATATATGTCTGTGTTTCTGCATGTGAACTGGCCTCTAGCCCTGCTCTTGTGCTCGGACTGTGTGGTGACTTTGTGATCCACCCCGAGCTTGCTTTGCTTTGCTTTGCTTGACTGGTCTTGTGACCCCTTGTTCTCCCCCACTTTGCCTATGGGGGTGTGTCAGAACATATCTATAGCTTATACTATTGTGTAGGCTGTAGTGGGGTATCCCATAGGGGGTACAACACAGTTAGGGTTTCATATTTGTACTGCCTTCATTCATAGTCCACACATTCCTGTTCTACAATTCTCACATCTTGCAGATGTGGCAGAACGGAGGTATTGTCTTTACTTGTTGTTGACGGTTGTTGTTGCCGTTGTATCGTCGCTGAGTGTGAAACGCAAGCTCTGGTGCTAATGCTTTCTTCTTGTGTCTTTCTTCTTGCAGGTCCATGTCTTGCTGCTCAGCATGAATTTCGGCGCAGAGTGCCGCTTCGGAAATCCTCCCGTGTGCTCGTAATATGGCGCGAGTGGAGCGCCAGTGGGGGCCGAGACCGCCGATGACCACCGTGACAAAGGCGTCTTCTGAAATCCACCCGTCGCATCGAAGAAGCTTGTCGCGCAGTTCGCGACAGCGGCTGATATAAGCCATGCCTTTCTCGCCTGGTTTCATTTCAATCGTTGTCAGTTGCGCCATTAACCTGCTTTGATTTACGCTGCCTGTTGCTTGATACAGGTTCTTCAGGTGGTTGTACGCGAGCTCCGCGGAGTTGCCGTAGCCTCGGTAAGTCCTGATGTTCTGCTGCTGGGTCGGGGTGATGTTCCTCATCAGTATCGTGTACGCCATCATCGATTGATAAGTATATTGCTGCTTCTCATATTGCGTCCCGTTTGTTGGATATGGCAGGGAGCCGTCGAAGAAGCCGAGAATCTGTGCTCCTTCCATCATCAGTTCGAACTCGAACGACCAGGTGAAGAAATCTTTGCCGTCGAAAGGCTTTGTCGTTTGTAGTTTTAAGACATGCGCGAATTGCGATTGAACTTGTAACGCATCCAATGCCCTTTCTTGTCCTGGTGCAGGTTGCGGTTGCGGCATGAAGCTGACGGAGCCACGCTGGGGCTCGTAGGAGTGAACTGGTGAACCCCCACATCCTGCAGGTCCGCGCCACTCACCAAGTTTGTAGAGAACGAGGGAAGGTACAGACCAGACAGGGTGCCCGAAGGGGCAGCCGGACACGGGAGGACAATGGAGAAGTGAGACAGGACAGGACCCCCAGAGGGGTCAGCAAGGGAGACTGCAACCGGCCGGCCGAGCGGCGTAAGGGTAGTGCGGTCTCGAAAGAAGGAGCGAGAAGCCCCGTAGTCAAGTGTGAAAGTGAGGGAGGACGAGGACGACGCAGTACCTGAGAGCGCAGTCTCACCAGTACCTGAGAGCGCAGACGCACTGGCACCTAGAGCAGCAGCCTCACAAGCACCTAGCGCAGCAGTACCAATGCCCGGGTCGGGCTGGAAACACCGGTAACCCTCATTCTCCTCACTATAAGTCACAGCATACATAGCAGCAAGGATAGCATCAAAATCAAGATCAAAGATCGCTACACCAGCCCTAAGAAGCTCATCCCAGCGAGGGATCTCACTAGCCCCAGGGAACTGCTGACGCCAAGCGTCCGTCAGGCGGCCAAAGCAGCGCTGGGCGGCGTGGGCACCCCCACACTGCTCACCCGCGCGGTCGCTGGAACGAAGAACGTAGGTGCAGGGACCAGTACCCCCACCCCTCTGACGCCCAGCGTACCACTCACGAAGCTGCTGAGGCGAAGGGATGTCCCGCGAGCGCTGCTGCTGCTGCCGCTGCGAGCGCTGGCCACCACCACCGCCGCTACGCTGCTGGGTACCACCCCGACCAGCTCCACCTCCTCCACCACCACCGCCTCCTCCGCTGCCGCCTCCACCGCCTCCACCTCCGCCGCCTCCACCTCCGCCGCTGCCTCCACCACCACCGCTGGCACCACCACCACCGTCTCCGCCGCTACTGCCACCACCACCACCACCCCCGCCACTAGTCCCGCCGCCACCCCCACTCCCTCCGCCGCCACCGCCCCCTCCAGCTCCACCCGCGCCCTTGCCCCCCTTGCCCTTGCTGGAGCGACGTCTCCCACTAGGGGCAGACGCCGCGCCGACCGACTCAAGACCAAGCAGGTCCGCAGCAGCAGCAGAGGCAACAGAGGGCAGCAAGGGGGAAGGAGAGCACCCCTCAAAGATGGGGGTGCGAGGGTCACCACGAGAAGCACCTACAGCGACTATGCTCTTCTCCGCTGCGAGGAGGGCCTTCTCGAGGAGGTCGACGGTGAGGGTGGTGGGACAGACTGCAAGAAAGTGGTCCCTGACGACGCGAAGGGAGTCATGGAGGCGCGCGACTACGTAGTAGAGAGCGATGTACATGGGGGGTGGGTTTTTAGCGCAGAACTCAGCAGGAAGGGCGGCGCGGTAGCGAGTGTCACTAGTGCGGAGGTGCGTAATGAGGTCAGCGACAGTGGGAAAGGCAGAGAGGTCAGGAAAGAGGTAGGGAAGCATGAGACGGCTCAGTGCAGCAGTGGCAGGGGAGGAGTAGCGCGCAACTACAGCGTCGTACAAGGTCTGAGCACTCTTGTACTGACTAAAGTGCGCACGCTCAGAGGTAGGGAAGTGGCGACGCACAGCAAGACGTGCAGCAGCATCGCGGGTGGCCCACTGAGAGCGGACAGTGGGATCAGCATCAGCAGCAGGAGCAGGAGAGGCGCCAGAGGTGAGGTCAAAGAGAGAAAGGCTGTCTGCTCTGTCGCACTGTAAGAACAGCTGCAGGTCGTCTAACCAGACCTCAAAATCAATGGCGCGACCCTCAGCGTCAAAAGCTAGGACACTAGGGGTAGCCATGGCGACGACAGCGAAGCAGTG